GGCGGGGCGCGGCCAGTCAATGAGGCGGAGCCGGCTGTGGCGGGGCGGGGCGCGGCTGAGGCGCGGAGGATCGCGGCGGGCGGTGAGCCTTCCCCGGTGCGGCCGGGGTACTCCCGGTACCTGTCGCCTTAGCACACCCGCGGGCCCGGGCCACCCCCAGTTCCCTTCCCTCGGTACTCCCAGAACAGGCCCTCGAAGCCCTGGGATCCCCGCTGTTCCCCAGGCAGCAGGCCCAAGGCCATGGCTCTCCCCTTGTTCCTCTGTATTCTCTCCACCCCCTCAAACTGCGCCCGCCCCCAGCAGAGCCCGAGTCAACAAAAGCTCTCAGGTCCTTTGTGGTGGTCTGGGCTCCCCGTCTTGCCCCGCGCCCATCAGTTCTGCTCTCGCTCTGCAGTCACCAGCCCAGAATCCACCCCAGCTCAGCTGTCCCGAGCCCTCCAGCTGGGATCCCCTTTCCCGAGGGTACCCTCTCCTTTTTTGGGGGTGCCCTCGGTACTCCTGGGGTGTCCCTGTGTGCCAAGGGTGCCCTCTGCCCACAGACCCTCTGGAGCCATGGGTGAGCCGCGGTACCTGCAGGCCGAGTGCGCTTTCCGGCCCGGGGCACACTCGGTGCGGGTGACCCTGACCCGCTCCACGCTGCGGGTGGAGGTGGAGGCTCACGGCACCGCCGACCTGTGGAGGGGCGAGTTCGATGCCGCCTGTGAGTGCCGGAGGGAGCCAGGGGGGATGAGGGGGTCTCCCACGACTGCCACTGACCGAAATACCCCCTTTTCCTCGCAGTCATCGAGGACCTGACCCGCAAAACGGGGAATTTCAAGCAGTTTGGCATTTTCTGCAGTATGCTGGAGTCGGCACTCACACAGGTGTGGCCGTGCTGCTCCCCCACACACGGCGCTTTGGGGGTACCTGGGGTGGGGTGTGTGTCCCACCGAGCCCTCCTGCTTTTCAAACTTTCTGCAGAGTAGCGACTCCGTCAGCCTGGAGCTCCTCACCTACACCGACTTGGAGACCCTGCATAGCCGGAAAGTGGGGGCAGTCACCCGGCCTCTCCCTTCCACCTCTTCCTCCCTCAACACCAAGCGCTACCTCATCCTCATCTACTCTGTGGAGTTCGATAGGTGACAGGGGACAGCAGGCAGGGGTCACAGGGGCGTGACTCCAGCCTCACCTCCTCCACGTGCTCTCCTCCAGGATCCATTACCCACTGCCCCTGCCCTACGTGGGGCGGCCGGACCTTGCGGCACTGGTGCGGGAGCTGCAGGAGCAGCTGGCGCAGCTCCGGGCCCGGCGCCTGGAGGAGACCCAGCACCTGCGGGACGCGTGAGTGGGGCTGGTGACATCCGGAAGGGTTTGGGGATTCCTTCCTTACTTTGTGAGACTGGAGCCCCCAGACCACCCCCTGCCAATCCCCCCAGGCTGTGGCAGGCGCTGGAGGAGAAGCGGGCAGCAGAGGCCCGGCACCAGCGCGAGTACCGGCAGCTGGCTGCAGAGGTGGGCTGGGAGGGGTTGGGAGCTGCTCTTGGTAGGGACAGGGGCTGCCAGATGCACAGTGAACCTTTCTCTCCCCTCGCAGCTGACCCAGGCAAAGGCGTCGGAGCAGAGGCTGCAGCTGCGGGTGAAGAACCTGACAGCTGAACTGGCCTCCTGCAGGAGGGGGTGAGGCTGGGGTGAACCCTGCAGGAGGACCCTCATGACCATGGGGTGTCCCCCTGTGCCCCTCTGATGGTACTGGTCCTCTTGGCAGCCGCCAGAAATCTGCCAGCCCGGCCCCACGCCCCAAGGAGCAACGCTCAGCATCCCTGGAGAGCCACAGGAGCAGCCGGGGCCGCCCCTCACCACAGTCCCTGTCGCCTGCAGGTGTGGGATACTTGGGGACACACAGCCAGGAGTGGTGACAGGGCACGGCTCACCCCCTCCTCACCCTGACCCCTCCTCTGCCTCCCCCTCTCAGGCTCCCACCGACCACGCTTCGACCCCACTGCCTTTGTCAGGAACCGTCAGCGCCAGCAGAAGGAAGCTGAGCTCAGAAGGTAAGCAGTGGTGACTGAGCTTGTCACCGTCCCTCCCTGGTACTTGGGGGGTCTCCTCTCCCCTTCAGCCCCATGTTCCCCCTTACCACCATCTCCCTGGGGTGCAGCCAGCGGCATGGAGTGGCTTCTGGCAGCGCCAGCCCAGCAAGGAGCCACAGGCGCAGCTCATCTGGTGAGTGGGGAGCATGAAGAGGGCTGGGGGTGCATCCATTGTGTGGGGCTCCTTCTTTAATTCCCCCCATCTCCGTTTCTCCCTGCAGCTGAAAGCTCCCGGAGCTGGCGCTTGGGAGGGAGCTCTGGCAGCAAAGCCAGTGAGCGCCACGAGCCCCTGCCCTGCAGGTAACGCTGGGGTTGGGCAGGATGCTTGGGCATCCCTTCTAGCAGCCTTTAACCCCCCCACCTTGGGCAGGGACAGGAGAGTGACCCGTAAACGGAGACCCCTGAGCACCTCGTCCTGCAATGGCCCCTGTATGGTGAGTGGCTGCCCCTTTGGGGTTTCCCCACCCCTCTTCACCCCAAGGCAGGGTGACCAGGAGGTCATTGATGACCCCAGCCTCCCACCCAGGTGCCTCACACAGCTGCCAGCCACAAGCTGCCAGCATGCAGGACTGGTGGCAAGCACCCTGGTAAAGGTGAGGCCCCATCTGAGCCCCTACATGTTCAAGGGATACCCCAATCCAGACCTTTGTTAACCCTTTTTTCCTTCACTGGCCTCCCCAGAGAACCGCTCCAAGGAGCCCTCAGCTGCACTGGCTGAGATTGACGCCCGGCTGCAGGCTCTGCAGGAGTACATGGACAGCCTGAACACCCACATGTGACCCCCTCCGGGGACACACATCCTCTCCCTGTATCCTCAGGGGGTGACAGTGGTGGTGTGGTACAAGTATCCCCCCAAATAAACCTCTGTGTGGCCCCAGAGTGTGTCCTTCTTGGGATGGGGGTGGTGTCCCCCAGGAGGGACACAGTGAGGGGGCTGGGGGCACCAGGGACATCACAAGAGGGTGACAGTACCAGTACTTGGGGTTATGTGGAATACAGCCCAGGCCACCAATCTTGTCCCCTGGGCTGCCAGTGAATTCAAAGGCAACTGCAATGTTATACCAGCACCCATGTCACCCTACTCTGTCCCTGCACCTGAGGGTGTCCCTGTCCCCACTCCTGCAACACTACTGTCCTCTTCCCACTGTGGCTCTGACACCACCACGGCTTTATTCAGTTCCATGTCACGTAAAACAGTGGCATTTGAGGACAATGGTGACGTGCCAGCACCAGGCTGCAGTTCAGGGATGGTGGCAGCTGGCCAGGGGATCAGCAGCAGTAATGTCACCAGAGCATGGAGCTCCTGGGGTACCACACCGGTGTTCTCTGTACCAAAGCCACTGTTTGGTGTCACTGTGGCTACGCTGGTGATGATGGTGGTCTTCATGGTCACTCTGGGATGCTGCAAACATGACCCGATGCCACCACAACTCCACCCTTGGCAGGACGCTGCACTGATGATCCCGACGGTGATGGCCCTGCTGTGGCAGACGCGGTACTGGTGATGCCGAGGACAGCAGGGATGCTGGCAGACGTCTGCCAGGTGTTGGTGACAGCCGCAGTGGGGATGGAACGCGGTGCCACACGGCGCTGCCGGTCAGAGCTGCCCGCGGATGTCGGGCAGGAGGTGACAGGCTGTGACGATGTCGATGGTGTCGGCCACGGCGCGCAGATCACGGCGGGCCAGGCGCAGGCAGTGTGCGGCTGCGGCTGCGGTCACCTGTGCCCGGCCCAGGGCACCCCCCAGCCCCCCCAGGCTCCGGGCGGCGCTGCCGTAGCTCTGCCGGAGGGCGCTGCCCACCGCCCCCCGCAGCCGCCCCGTGCCCTCCCGCAGCCGCTGCTGCAGCAGCGAGGGGCCGCCCCCCCAAACGGCCGCCGGCTCCTCCGCCAGCACCGGCGGCGTCTTCGGCCTCTGCTCCTCCTCCTCCTCCTCCTCCTCCTCCTCTTCGGTCTCGGAGGCTTCGCCCGGCACCTTCAGCCCGGCTCCGGGGGCCTCCCCTGCCGTCTCCACCAGCAGCTCTGGCTCCGAGTCGCTCTCGGAGGCTTCGCCCGGCACCACCCGGGGGGGGCGGGGGGCGGCCATGGCCTGGGGGGACACGGGTGGGTCAGGAGGGCCGGGGGCGATCCGGGCTTAGCCCCGCGGAGTCCTTGCCCAAACCCCTGGGCTCGGACCCCTCTGACCCGCGCGGCCCCCCAGCGATCCGGGGGGCTCCCCCAGCCCCATGGCCCCGGCAATAACCCCGCTCCCCACACCGGGCTCCCCCTCTCCCCACACCGGGCTCCCCAGGTTCCCACACCGGGATCCCCCTCTCCCCACACCGGGTTCCCCCTCTCCCCACACCGAGCTCCCCCGGGACGCTCCCACCTCCCGGCCGCCGGTGCCGCAGGTCACATGAGGCGCTGCCCACGTGACCGCAGGCGGAAGTGGCGGCGCTGGGCATGGCGGGCCCGCAGCTGCGGCCGCTCCGGGTAAAGAGCTGCGGGTAAAGAGCTGCGGGTAAAGAGCTGCGGGTGACAGCGCCGGGAACCCGGCCCTAAACACGCAGCACACACCGGAGCTGACAGCTGCTAGGAGCCGTTTCAGTGCACAGCTCTCCATCCCCCTGTGTAAGGAATGCAGCAGGGACTTGCAGCAGAAGAGCACCGGGATAGGAGGTGGAGAGCCAGGACGGGCCTCAGGGCAGTGAGGAGCTGAGCCGAGCCAGGCAGCGCCGTGTCACCGCTCTGGTGGCCCTCTGTGACAGGGCAGACTCACCGATGCCACCTGCCTGGACTGTGTGACTCCTTTGGCGTGGTCCCACATGGCATCCTCATCTCCAGACCAGGGCAGCACCTCTAGGAACCCCAGGGGCTGGGGAAGGAGCCGTGATGACTCTTGGACACCGAGGCTGCAGAGATCTGGGGGATCTGGGGCTTTGCGGGATGGTGTAGAGGCCCCTTCTGTCATGTAAGGATCAGAACTAGGACTGGGATCAGGGTCCAGAACCATGTTTAGGACTAGAACCAGGACTAGGACTGGGACAACAGTTGGGACCAGGACCAAAACCAGGACAGGAAAACAGCTGGAACTGGGACAAGGACCACAGGGGACACCACAGTCAGGACCATGCTGAGGACCAGGACCAACGTGGTGAACACATCCAGACCCAAGACTGGCACTGGGAACAAGACCAGAACCAGCCCCAGGAGGAGACTACATCCAGACCAAGGAGGGTTGTGGACCAGGCCCACTTGGAGAGACTTTCTCTGCTGGAAGGGCATGGCACTGGTGATGTGACACTTCTGGGGGTTGTGCCTCAGCTCAGGCTGGTGCAGACAGGTGTCAATGTGCAGGACCACATCCCCCCAGCTGCTGCTGCAGCTGTGTGGCACCTGCACCCAGGGACACCTCTCTGGCACCCAGCCCTGGGCTCCCAGGCACCCCAAATCCCAGCAGCCTCGCCTCCTGCAGCACTCTGAGCCCCTAACAGCACCGTGCATCCCCCACTCTCAGCCCTGCCCCACAAAGCAAACATCAAACACCTATCCCAGGCTATGTACAGCACTTTTGAACAACGTGGAATGTCAGTAATGTAGATTTTTTGCAAGTGCATGCTGATGCTCTCAAGCAGCCACCTGGGTTGAGGATTACAAGGAAATAAGGCCTAGATCTCCATCAAGTTTCAGATTTGGACACACACTGTTCGGCTCTGGCATCATCTGGGACGGTTCCTGGAGCTCAGGATATAGAGACTTGCAGAGCCAGCTGAGGGAGGGAGAAAGCCTCAAAGCTTCTGTTCCAGTTTCTCTGCAGATAATTTACCCTTTTTATGGGAACTGCCCTCTAGAACAATTTTTCAATATCCTTGTTCCTCTGGTGTTCCCAACAGTGCTCTGAAGGTGGCAGTGCACAATACATTTTTCTGGTATTTCACCTGCCTGAGATTTCTGTGCTTCAGAAGATGTGGGTGTTTTGGTTAATGCAGTCACTGTATATCTGTATTTTCCCAGATGACTCTGGCAGTTTTCCTTTGTAATTCTTCATTATATTAATGGATAATGATAGCATTTTATCTTTACAGTCTTACACACTGTGAGCTATCTAGTTGTTTCAATTGACTTTTTTCCCTTTTTGCTTTTTTCACATTTCTTGTATCTTTTTTCTGGTACATTTGGAAACAAATCACTTGGAATTCATGTATAAATCCTTTATCTCTAGTGTGTGCTTTTTCTTTTTTTCATGTTTCAACTTTCCAGGAAAAATGTTTCCAGAACCCTGAATGTATTAAATAAACACATCATGTTCCATAAAAGAAACAAACTGGCTCAGTTGCTGATAGGGAACTGCTCATTTGTTTATTAAAAGCCAGTGCTTTAAAAGTAAGATAAGATAGCTGGGACTTTAGAAATGATGGAAAATTGGATTTCTTCTCTGTTATTGCAGGTGGCCTGGCATGACTCAATGTTTTTACATTTGTTTGCAGAAACTGATGCACATTACAGACACTGTGACCATTTTACACTGACACTGTGACCAATTTACATTTAAAGCCAGGTATTTATTCCTATCTGTAATTTTTGTCTTTTTTTTTAGCTAGAAATGCATGCAGTGTTTCACACATTGACACATTACAGAGTTCTGTGGTTTGGAAATCTTAAACCATAGGTTCTTTGGCAGGCAACTTCAACTTTCACAGGCAAGAGTACACATCTTGATTCTTGAAGTCAGTAGTTTCTGGAGTAAGTTAGGTTTACAAACTCTGTCTGAACACCCCCTCCTACACTCACTTAAATAATCTTCTACCATTCCCACTCATCCAAAGTGACCACTGTCCTGGTACCTGCAGAACCAACCATGAAGGCCTTGTTTGTGGTCAGAAATCTCCAACATCAATGACTGTCATCTGTAGAATTACATTCTCACACTGGAAATGAAAATTAGAGTTTAGGTGACCAGATAACAGCACAGACAGAGCTATGAATCTGGTTGGCAGAAACTTGTAGTTTTAAGACAGTAATACTTACATATTTTTAAGAAGCAAAACAGGGATGATTTATGGTAAACCATTCTTCTTCCTTGGAAGAAGAATGCTTTGGAGCTCCAAAGATCAATCAGTAAGTGTGGTTATCAGGTTAGCAATCACAGTTTCTGTGCCCTTGTGAGACCTCACCTGGGATGTTCTGAGGGCTGGAGTCCCTCTGCTCTGGAGATGGGCTGAGACAGCTGGGGGTGCTCAGCCAAGAGAAGAGAAAGCTCTGGGGAGACCTCATTGTGGCCTTCCAGTACTTGAAAAGAGGTTATATGAAGACAGAGAGAAGCTTTTTCTAATGGTAAATGATATATTTATATAAGCTTTTTATATGGGTAAATAGTGCCAGGACAAAGAGGTCCAGCTAACCAAGAAAGGGTAGATTTAGATAAGATGTTGGGAACATATCCTTTCCTCCAGGGGTTGGTCTCACAGGTTGCCCAGAGAGGTTGTGGCTGCTCCATCCCTCAAAGTGTTCAAGGCTTGGAGCCTTGACCCTGGGTGGGGATTGGGTGGGATCCCAGTGGTCAAGTGGGAGCTGTCCCTGCCCATGGCACGGGAGTGCAACAAGATGAGGCTTAAGATTCTTTCCAACCCAAACCATTCTGTCATTCTGTGATTCTATGAACAGCTAATGTCTCTACAGGAAATGTGAAATAGATGTAAATGTAAACATGGAAAGTGGAGATCATCTACCTTAAGCTGGAATGGTCCTGAAATTGCTGGGAAAGGGACAGATCTGTCTTGAGTGGAAAGCAGCCCCTGGGAGCACAGGATGCCAGCCTGGTCTGTGATGCACTGGATCCCCAGGCAGCCTGCTCAGAGACCTTGCCCTGACACATTCATTCATCATTCCTATTGCTGCACTGGGATTATTTCAAGTGGCAAATTCTTTATGCTTGGTTTTGAAGACCTGTTATGGCATTTACACAAATGTTTTGTTGTGTGAGGTCACTTGGGGGCAAATCACAAGAAATTGAGACATCATAAACAGCTGCAGTGGAACACAAGGCAGAAGAAGGGGTGGTTCTTTGTGCAGGTGAATTGATACTGTGCAAAGAGCTTTTCTGTGGCTGCCCAGGCTGTTGGGGTAGATAGGTCAGGCATGCAGATCTCACTGGGCAGGCTATATTTACTCTGGCACTGCCTCTGTCACCAGGCCATACATAGCCACTCTCAGTCAGGGCAAGCAGCCTCGCCAAATCAGTGCTCTGTGAAAATGGAAAAGGATCTTAATTAAACCCTTAATGCAAAAGTTTACAGAAATACCATAGAATGCTCTGTCTGTACCTGGAGCCTTCATAGCCATGGTAAGTGATGGTGTTTTCTCTGTCTTTTGGAATAGAAAAGACTTCTATTGTGAGTTTTATCTGAAATTTGGATTAAAATTTGTTTTTTAATAATAACAATATCATTAAAAGTTCAGTGTTTATGTTTTGCCTCAAGGCATAATAGAATGTACATACTTGTATACACACACACATATATATTTGTGTATTTTATTATAGTCTTGCCAACATACAGTAATTTTGCATAAAAGGAATCCAGATTTGCCTAGACCATACAAAGATGAGGAAAACAGACAAAGGGACAGTATTGCCCTGTTTATTAAATAACAATATTACACCATTGACTGGAAAATAACCTTCCTACTGTTTCAAGTTGCTGCTTTGGCATACAGGATTTCCTATGTAAAAAAAAATAAATATTGTTTTTTTAGATAGGAATAATTGAAAAATAATGAATGTGTATTGTGATTACTGTACTCTCATGAGGTCTTTTGTTTCCCACAGCCATGGGTATCTTCTCTATACTTGCTCTACCGCTGCTTCTCTTAGGGATCAGTGGAATTATTTATATTTACCAGTCAGTCAGGTGGCTGCTGTCCAAGTCAGCGGTGCAGAACAAGGTGGTGGTGATCACAGATGCCATCTCTGGACTAGGCAAGGGTGAGTTGTCTCATTTCTTCTCATTGTCAGAGAACAGAAGCAGAACAGAGTGACCCTCTGGGTGATAACCATGCACACGGTGCCTTGGAGGTATTCATAACTGGCTGGATGAAGCACAAGTTAATAAATACATTTATAAACAAATCCTATGATTTTTAAGTGTACATTTTTAGCCTCAGCCTTGGGAACCACTGGTGAACTAGTAGGAGCTGCAGAGCTTTGTATTTATTTAATTCAGTAGAAGGAGAGGGTTTGTATGAGCACTGAGTGCTATTTTTAGCATGTTGCTACTGTAAGATCTCATTACACAGGCTGTCAGTGCAGGGTAGCTGCATAAGCAGGTGCCACCTTACTCTTTACATGTTCCTTTTCTGCCCTTAGAGACTTCAACAGTTCCTGCTTCTTGTGAACAGCAATGCTCACCCCTCTGTCTCTATTTGCTTCCCTTCCCCCTCTATCACCCTAATTCTTGCTTTTCCCTTGGCATCCTCCAGTACTTGCAGCTGGGCTGCCCAGCTCTGTGCTGTGTGACTTCAGAGGACAAGGAAGGGCGATGCCTTGGAGTGGCCAGCTAGAACAGAGGCTAGACAGTCAGAGGATAAAGTGGGTATTTATTAAAGACCTTCAATAAATACACCTTGGGCAGTCAAAGTCTCCTAGAGGTTGCACCCAAGCTGGATGATGGTCACGAGTTTCTCAGGCAGAAATAAGTTTGGCCAATTTGCAATCAGGGTTTAATCCTCCAATTCCAGCTTCAGGTAATGAAGTCATATTCCCCCACTTTGCTTTATCCCCCAGTTCATTTTTGTTTGTGCTTTTTGGGGCCTGAGGCTGTGGTGTGTCCTTGGATCTCAGGCCCAGAGGGATTGTTTTGTCTCACCAAAATGTGAGGACAGCAGCTGACACTCTGTATGGGGTTCAGAGTTATGCACTAATGCAGTGCAGGATCTGAAAAATAGAAAAGATAAAAGCTGAAGGCATCAAGGGTATGCAATAATTATCTGTTTAAACAGCTGATGGCCTGGGTGGCCAGCCACTTATCATCTCTAGTCCAGAGGAGGTCACAAAGATGACCAAAGGGCTCTACTGTGAAACAGGCTGGCAGAGAGGGATTGTTCATCCCAGAGAAGGGAAGGCTCTGGAAAGACCTTAGAGCCACTTCCAGTGCCTGAAGGGGCTCCAAGAGAGCCAAAAAGGGACTTTGGGCAGGGGCCTGGTGTGACAGGACATGGAATGGCTTCCCATTGCCAGAGGGCAGGGATGGATGGAATATTGGGAAGGAATCCTTCACTGTGAGGGTGAGAAACCCTGGCACAGGGTGCCCAGAGCAGCTGGGGCTACCTCTGGATCCCTGGCAGTGCCCAAGGCCAGGCTGGATGGGTTTGGAGCAGCCTGGGACAGGGGAAGGTGTCCCTGCCATGGCTGGGGTGGCTCTGGTTTGTGGGGCACTGAACAGGCTCCCCATGAATGGTCACAGAGCGAGAGCTCGAGAAGCATTTGGACAATTTCCTTGGGCACAGGGTGGGATCCTGGGCTCGGTGCTGGGCAGGGCAGTGAGCTGCACTCTGATCCTTGTGGGTCCCTTCCATCACAGCATGTTCTGTGAATCTGTGACCCCCTCTGGGTGAGCTGGAGGAGAACAAGCCCAGGCCCTGACTGTGCCCTTCTGGCTGCTGCAAAAGTTAACCCTCTTCTGGCCAGAACCAGGACATTTTATTTCCATTTTTTTTGATAGAGGCATGGTTTAGAGTACTTCCACTGAGATTTGATGTATTGTAGAATTATATGATGTCTGGTTTTCTAGCTAAAAAAAATCTCACTTGGAGCAGAAATATCATCGCTGCTGAATTTATTTGGCTGTGGCATCAAGGTAAATCTTGGAATCTTCCAGTAAGAAACAAAATTTACTGAACATTTCTCCAGCTGTCTTTCTCCAGCACTGCATGAACCCTGGGGAATATTTTCCTAATTTCAGCTTCCTTATTATTCCTCTTTTTTCTTTTCTTTTTTACCTTATTTTAATGTTTTTTCCCTGTGGGTAGCTGTTACCTGTTTCTTGAGGCAAGAAAGGCAATTGTGTATTTGTGGTGCCTCCCCACTCCTTTTCATGTAGATGAAAAATGAGGTAACTCAAAGCACTTCTATTTTATTACCCTAAATATACCTGTGACCAGTATCCCATAGGTTGACACTGGGATGTTATTTGCAGGCTTGAATGATTCCAAATAATGCAAAATTAACTTTTCACTCAGGCATAAGTGATGGCCATTCATTCAAAGCTTTAAAATACCAGCTGTGTGGCCAGCTGCTGTGGATGTGGGCTCTAAGGAATCAGCCAAATTCTTTTCCTACATGCCAGAATTTCCAGACTAAAGGCAACATTCATCAAAGTTAAAAAAGAGAAACAAATCAATGATGATTGAAGATGTTTTCAATGGTTTGTGGTTGTTATTGAAACCTTGTTCCTGTTTCTTCTGAGTGCAGTAACTCAGAAAAGTACAGGGAAGTTCTAGAGGAGAACATTGGTTTCCCTTTTTACCTTTATTGCTGTTCACATAGAAGTTTTTATCTCATTTTTTTTTCACAAGATTGCCTCAATTGTTGGAAAATACTGCTATATTTGTTCTGGCAAACTCTTTTGGGCATTAAATTAAAAATCCTTCAATGCTAGAAAAAAGAAAAAAAAGAAAATGGAAGGTGTTCATAAAACTACTGCTGTAAATAATGAAAAAGATTGCTTAAATAAAAGCTTCCAGCTGCACAGGTTTGCAAAACTACCAGGGTGGATCCATAAATAATTCCATGCAGATATTAAGAGCCCAACATGATAATTTAAGAAATCTAAAATGGGTAGATTAGCATAACTGGATTTCCTGTGGGTACTGAAATCTGAAGGAAATGTTTCTTGGAGGGCAGCAAGCCATCACACCGGGCTCCTTCTGTTCAACAAAGGGAGCTGAGACAAACCAAACAGGCTGGCAAGGCATTGCAGGACTGTGTTCCTGTTCTTCCCATGCTGATTGTCAGGTGGATTTGATTAGGGACCAAACAGGAGAGCTCCAAGGCTGAGAGCTTTTTTGAAGAAAGACCCAATCAGGAAAAAATAACTTCATTTTCAATCATATGAGCACACAAACCCAACCCACTGCCAATTAACTCTCTGGCTGCACCCAAAGCAGACCTCTGGTTGCATCCTCAGGCCAATCTGCAAGAATTTATCTATTCTGAGAAAAAAACAACAAAGGCAGGCAGTTGTGAAGCTTTCCTGGTTATGAGGACAGCCTTGATGGATTCCTGGACTGAGCATCACTGTTTCAGTTCAGCTGAGCTAGAACAGGCACCTGTGGCAGCCTGCAGCTGCCAGAGAGATCCAACCAACACTGAATTCCTCAGGGAAGCCCATGGGGTATCTACACTTCATGTTTTTAAACACATTTCTCTGCTCAGACAGACAGAATGGTGAGGAACATATTCTCCCTCAACACCACCTAGAGAGCAGACACAAGTCATCGAGGTGTTCCAGCCTTGTGTTTCAGAATTTAGCTTGGATACCCCCACAAAGACCTGCACTGAGGAGTTGGTTTCAGTCTTGTAGCCAGTGCTGAGTGGGGATGAGAGGTAGCACTGATTGCCAGTTCCTGTTGTTATTTGAGCTCCCACTGTCAGAAATGCACTGTCATAATTCACTTGTGTAAAAAAGGGAGAAGAATTCTCTGAGATCTGTCTTAAATTGAGGTAAACTCCTAGCTTAGGATATGTCTGAGTGAAGAAAATGCAGTTCCAGCCCTGCATTCCCAAAACTTTTTGGTGCTTTTCTCAGGAAGGCTTCAGGGAATGCAGCTGAACAAACTGGTCCCTAATGCCTCTGCTTACTGGGGAGGTTTAGGGCTCAGGGGATGAAGGTCTTGGGATGGATTACATCTGGAGGAGAGGGTCTTTTGGAGAAAGGATCTCTCATGGGGGCTGCACCAGGGGACCAGTGAGAGCAGGTTTACCTGTATTACTGTTTTTCAAAGCTGTGGATGAGTTCTGTGTTGCTCAGGTTCATGTAGGTGGCACACAGGGTTGGCTGGTTTCTTTATAGAGCAGCAGACATGAAGCTTTGAAAAAGATGCAGTTTGTATTTTTATGTGTAGTTTTATTTGTAGCAAGTGTGTCTGGGAAGGATATAGAGAAATTTTTTTCTAACTCGATCTCATAATCCAGTAACTGACATAGTTATTTCTTAATTATTTTTTACTAAATCCTACTACTGAGCAGTGGCATTGTGCTGTACTATTAACTATGCATTATCCCTTTCCATTAAATTTAATTTATTCCTCACCTAGGTACTATTACAAGTCAATCAAGTCAATCCTTTCTTTTTTTTTTTTTTTTCTCATATTATTTTGGAATTAATTATTTCAAAGCATAGATTCAACACCCTTAGCAAAACCAGCATCCCATTTCAAGCAAAATAAACAAAACCAATTTGCTGCTATTGTAATTATTTTTAAAATATAAATATATTAATATATAATGTTTCTTTATTATATAAATAAATATATATTTTTAATGTATTTCTCTCCTAGAATGCTCTCGTGTGTTTCACGCAGGAGGAGCAAGGCTTGTGTTGTGTGGCAGGACATGGGAAAAGTTAGAAGCCCTTTATGATGCCTTAATTAGTGTGACAGACCCCAGCACGGTAGGTGTTCACAGCCTGGGATAAACCTTGCTCGGGGACAGAATGTAATTTTAGATCCAGTAAAACAATGTACAAGAAATATGATTTTCTCTCTGTGGTAGCTTTGGTCACCCAGGTAATAAAACCAAACACAGCCCAGAGAGACAGAGAAAGAAACACCTCTGGAGGCCTTTCGAGCATGGTGCCACAATCCTGCTCTCTTGAGCTAATCCTGTAAAGCATCTGACTGCTCCTCATCCCCCAAGAACATCCTGAGTGTTCTGAACAAACCACCCAGCTAGAAATCCTCAGCAGAGGAATTTGCCTGATAATTTGGATGAAAGGGATCCAAAGGCTTCATTCAGCGTCAGGAAATGCCATCAGTTTTTTAATATAATTAGTGTGCTCAAGGAGTGGGAGATAGGTCTAAAGATCAAATTCATTTTGAGCTTCTCCACTGTTTGGGGAAATGTCCCAGGTAGAAGGGATTTGGAGTAAAAAAAGGACATTATCTTTTCCTCATGGCCACTGGCAGTGGACATGCAGGAGTGCCCCTGCTCCAGCTTTGTGGCAGGTTTTCCCTGAGGCTCATGGCAAAGCTTCTCCTCTGTGAGCAGCACAGAGCTGACTCATTCCAGGGCACAGGTGTTCCTGAAGGCATCACATAAATTTTGCAGCTGTTGCTCATCAGACCTACAAATATTTGTGGTTTTTTTTTTTGCAGTGGGTTTCATTCATCTGCATAAATAACCACAAAAGTATTGTGCTCATGTTAGCCTGTGCAGATTCAACTAGGAAAAATATTAACTATGATTAAGGGTTCTGGATTACATTGTCTAAGTCAAGGAAAAAATTCAAGTCATTCTTCTGTCCCACAGCTGACAAAATGTGTTTTTGCAGAAATCATACACATGTAAAGTCCATTTGTATAACCTACAGCAAAACAAACCATTCCTACCTTCCATCTGTCCCACGTGTATGCAGCTCATCTCTCAAAGCACTAAACCCCAGTCTCTTGTCAGCAAAGGGTTCTTCCCAGAAAGAGCAGGACTTGAACTGCTGGGAGTCACCCTTGTGTCTATTTTCTGTTTCCACTGATTACAAGAGAGACAAAACTCACAGGGAGCTTGTCCAGCTGACCCTTCCCATGAGTTCTGTTTCCTCTGAAGTTCAGTGTTTGTGAATCCCATTATCACAGGATCACAGGATGGGTTGGGTTGGAAGGGACCTTAAACACCACCCAGAGCCACCCCTGCCATGGCAGGGACACCTTCCACTGCCCCAGGCTGCTCCCAGCCCTGTCCAGCCTGGCCTTGGGCACTGCCAGGGATCCAGGGACAGCCACAGCTGCTCTGGGCACCCTCCCTCACAGGGAAGGATTTCCCCAATATCCCATCTAGCCCTGTCCTCTGGGAAGCCATTCCCTGTGTCCTGTCACTCCAGGCCTTTGTCCAAAGTCCCTGTTCAGCTTTCTTGGAGCCCCTGTAGGCACTGGAAGGGGCATTAAAGTCCCCCAGAGCCTTCTCCAGGCTGAACAAGCCCAGCTCTCATTGCTGAACTATCTTCTTTCTAGAGTCAGTTAAACTTAAAATCTTAGGTTTGCATGAGAGTGACAAAACCACTTTGAGTATCAAGGTAAATTAATTTACAAGACAAGGAAACAGAAATACAACTTTATATAACAAGTACCATTGAAATGAGTCTTTTGTTTATCAGACCTATGCACCAAAGCTGATACTTCTGGACATCACAGACATAAGCTGCATTCGAGATGTAGCTAAGGAAATCCTGAACTGCTATGGCTGTGTGGATATACTGATCAACAATGCAAGTATGAAGGTGAAAGGAGCAGTGCAGAGCATTTCACTGGAACTTGATAAAAAGATAATGGATGCCAACTATTTTGGACCTATAACGTTAACCAAAGGTATTTTAATTTTGTTTTTCTTTTTTTTGCTGTTAGCATTTAAAGCACATTGACAATTAAATGGGTTAATACTGCAACCAGCTCTGCATGTAGAATTCAGGTGAGGTCTAGAAGACAATTTCCAGCTGTTGGAATTTGCAGTATTGAGATAACCTTCACTGAATTTGTGTTATTTACACTTCAGCTGTTGCTTCTTTTCACGAAATCCATTCAGCTCTTTTATTTACATGGTTCTTTATTGCATTTCTCTTTTTTTTGCAGCCATTCTTCCTAACATGATCTCAAGAAGAACTGGCCAAATTGTTCTAATTAATAGCATCCAAGGGAAAATAGGAATTCCATTTCGTGCAGCTTGTAAGTTATACATTGCAAAAACATACATTCTAATGCACAAGTTGTGAGAAGTCCATGACACTCATCAGAGGTTATTAAAAGTGCAAATTTGCATCCAAATTCAGTATTACTACAGTATTTGGCTGTTTGTTTTTTTTTTTCTAATTGGAACTCAATTAGAAATAGTTAAAATACTACCTTTGAAATGTAACTGCTGCCTAGGGGACTTGAGAATAGGATGATAAAAAAATGTCACAGTGAATTTTAAATATATATATATATATAAATATATATTGTATAGTTAAAATCTATATCTGATCTACACTTGTGCATATCTATAGAAACCTTCACAATGAATAGTGTGTAAATATAAAATATGAGTAGGTAAGAGCTACTGCTTTGTGAAGCAATAATGCATTTAGGTGTGGGAGTTTAAAAGGAGATGTAGGAATTGCTTTCTGCTTGGCTTTCCAGAAAATTTTTAAGGTCTTTCATCCAAAACTCCTAAGGAATTGAGGCTGTTCTGAATTATGATGGAAGGTCTTTGCATTAATAAAACACAAAAAGAATGGACAGAAAATAGAGATGTAAATAGACATTTTAAACTTAGGACAGATGTAAACAGACATTTTTAGCTTGACAGAAAATCAGAGTGTGTGATGGGCTCTGCATTTAAAAGTTTGTGAAGCCTCAGAATTGTAAATTATAGTCCCATGAAAGGAAACTACAGTGACATAAGCTGTAAGAACAGCAGCAGAAAAAATAAATTCAAACATGTCTTTATGTCTTTGTAAATTTATGCATAAATAAATTTATAAATCCACACAGAGCCCACATCTCAAACATGGTGTGCTGTTCTGGTCTCCCACCTCAAAAGAACTGCAAAAAAGTCTCAGAAAGGAAACAACACATTGCTGTGACATCTGGAATCCTTCCCATCTAGGGTACAGACAGTGGTGTCAAGATACACTGCATGTGTGTAAAACCATAACAAGGAGAAGAGCCTGAGAAAGTTTTTACAATACCCCTAGCAATATTTCTTTGCATGGAATGAAGCTGCCAGGAGAAGAGATGTCAAAATGAATGCATGGAGAATCATCTCTCTATTCCCAGAGCCCACCTGCCATTGCCTAGATATGCACAGGTTGATTTTCTCTGTAAACTGAGTCAAATAAAAGTGCTCGAGCACTTTGCAGCTCTGCTGCACTGAGCACACAGTTCTGTTTGCTGGTCAAGTTTCACATGCTATCATCTTATTCATACTGTTCTCAGAAAAAGGCTCTAAAAGGAGATTAAAAAGTCTTGACATTTAGTAACTTTAAAATTCACTTTAGCATTAGAAGTAGCTGAGATTGCTGCTGCAGGGCAAAGCCCAAATCAGTGCACAAAGCATGAGGAACACTGCATTCCAGCAGTGGACATGTATTTCACTGCATTTTATGGATGTGTTACAGTGTGAGGACTCGTCTCAGGGACAATTCCATCCACCAAAGATATTTTTGAACTGTAAAGATAACAGAATTGTTATTTCCTAACCCAGCATGTGCTGTTTCTGACTGGGAAATGCAGACACATGCTGAGACTGCATGCACAATTGTCCTGTATAGATAATTTCTTATTGCTTGTTTTAAATATGATAATTTCTCTGAGTGAAATATTTCTTTTGCATTTTGGTTCATCATTCCATGCTCATTTTCCCTAACATTGGTACTTTATTATACACCTGCTGCCTTGCAATCATTTATCTAAACATGCATATGTGTGCTTTTTACTTTTAGATGCTGCTTCCAAGCATGCTGCTGTAGGCTTTTTTGATTGTCTTAGAGCTGAAATGGAAGAATTTGATATTTCTGTCAGCACTGTGAGTCCAACCTTCATCTGTTCCTACCATCGCCCACCAGCACCAGGCAACTGGGAGGCATCCATTTGGAAATGTAAGTTTGGGTGGACCAAGATGAGGCACATAAAGCAGGAGGGAGGCTTTTCCAGGGTGAAAAAGAAAAGGAAAAATAATGGAAATGACAGAAAGGAGCAAAAGAAAAGAGATATTAGGGAGGTAAAATTAGCCTGGTGAAATGAGGAGGAACGTGGAATGAGACAAGGTTATGTAAGGAAATAAATACACTGGGGCATCAGGAGTGGAGGGGGAGGAGAGCATGAAAGGTCCAAAGGATTGCTCCTTCTCTTAAGGACTATAAGGATTTTACCTCAGTTATAAAAAGGTCTTGGCCACATACTGATGGGGAGAATGGAGTGGGGAAGGGATTGAAACCAGTTGTGTATCTTTTTAACACCATTCCCTGAGTGTCTCCCTGTCTGTCTGTCTGTCTGTCTGTAGCTCTCACTCCTCTCTCCTTTACAGTCTTTTTCAGGAAGGTGTCCTACGGTGTGCACCCTGTGGAGGTGGCAGAGGAAGTCCTTGCCACAGTGAGCAGGAGGAAGCAGGAGGTGCTCATGGCCAACCCCATCCCCAGAGCAGCAGTTTACATTCGGACATTCTTCCCCGAGCTGTTTTTTGCCATTGTTGCCTCAGGGATTAGGGAAAAGCTGAAGACAGAAGAGGAAAATTGATTTTGTTCAGTTATTTTCCTTGCTTTTGAGCTGAAAAAAAAAAAAAAGGTTTCTGTTTTGAATGTTGGTGACTTGTGCTGCTTGCTGTGGGTGGAACAATGCCACTATCACACACACATACAGGTGAATATCTGTAAAGCTTCTGCTCCTCTGGTTTTAGGGAGTGTGACAATTGGAACCAAACTGCTCTTGCTGCTGCAACTCCCTCTGCTCATATAACTTCCAGCACCAGCTCACTTACATGCCTCATTCATTGGTAGAATACCAAACATGAAAGGAATTCTGAGGGCAAAGGAACATATGTCATCTTGCAGGGACGTGCACCTTCTGCTGTGTCTCTAATTGAATTGCTCTGGCTCCAAGGAACCTGGCTCAGGGAGGTAATTCACCTCTGGGATGAAGGGGTCAGTCCCTGCAGCACCTCCTGAAGCTATTTGCTGTTGTAGCACTGATTTTGTTGTAGTGTGAGTGACTGTGCCTTACCTGGGAAGTCAAACAATCACTTGTTCAAGATTTTCTTGGTCCTCAGAAGAACTCTCCTGTTTCAAACCAAGGGGCACTTGCTGTGATCTCAGTTAAATTTGTGTCTTTACCTCAGCAACAGCCAAGTCCTCCACATTTCCATAAGAGCAAGATGCAGAATAAGCAGAATTTCATCAGTAAAGGATCAGGCACCACAGGACATCCCAGCTAAACATGAATCAACATTGTCTGTGGCTGCCCCACCCCTGGAAGTGTTCATGGCCAGGCTGGGTGGGCTTGGAGCAGCCTGGGACAGTGGAAGGTGTTCCTGCCATGGCAGGGGCTTGGAATGATAGAGGTGCTTTTTAAGGTCCCTTCCAACCCAAACCACTCTGTGGTTTCTGTGATTTCTATTGTTCTTTAGTGTAAAAAACAAGTGGATTACATGTTAATAAATAATCCTTCTGCTCCATTTTACATGCTCTAGAGATCAGCAGAAATTCTTCACACAATTTCCCTTCAAAACAGTGAGCAGTTCAAGGAGCCACAGTAGAAGGCAGTGAAAGAGGTAAAATAACACCTGTATCCTATCAAGAAAGTTTTAAAAAACAGATGTATTTTTATCTAGAAAGTAGAAGAATGTCGTATCTTAATGATTTTCAAATTCCTAAAATGTACTGCAGAGAAGGTAGGACTGAACTGTTCTCCATTTCTGCTGGAGCAGGACAATGTGCTAAAATTACTGCAAAGGAGATTTACAGGGACAGCATTTTCTGCTAAGAATAGTTAAGCACAAAGGACAAATTGCCACAGAAATTTTCAAATGCCTGTCTTCAGAAGCTTTAAAGAAGAGATTAATGGAACATCTGTAAAAAAGCAATGTAGCTTTAGTTTATCCTGCCTAGAAGAAAAGAAGGATTAGATGACCTTTTAAATGGGTCACACTTTTCTCTAATTCAGTGGCTTTTTCTCATCTTGAAGATGAGGTTCCTCCACTGGCATTTCAGATTTAATAATTTTTTTTTCCCTCTGGAGAAAAAATATTATTTAATCTGAAGTTTTCTATTTAATTTGTAGATCTCTGTTTCACTGTCTCACCTGTGGATATGTGTTGCACATAAAAAACATTATCATAAGAAAAGAAATACTCAGATGAGTTCAGGATAACAGGAGTTTCACCCCAGAGGTTTCCTTTTCTCTCATTAACTTCCAGTGGTAACCAGGACTACTTTAGATCTGTGTCCTTGTGCCACAGGTGTCTGAAATTTACTGAGATGCCACATTCATCAAAATTGATTTGATCTAATCAATCAGAGTAAAAATGCTGCTGTTATTCCTCTGCTTTCAAATAATGTGGTTCCAGGGCTTACCAGGTATCAAAGTTAAAATAAAGGCCAGGATATGAATTAGTGGCTTACAAATAGGGATAAAAAATCTTGCATTTCATCAGGTGAATTTATTTACCAGATATCCAGCACAAGACATACAGCTTCTTGAATGGTTAGCATGAAAAAAAGCAGACAGCTTGAGATTTAAGAATGGATCTGGACAAATTCTTACTGCACAATTATGTAAAAAGCTCTTGCCCACCTACAACACTTTATATGCACACAAACCAGTGTAAGAAACAATCCTGAGGAAACAGCATATGGCAGAGACTGTCAGGCTGTGTTAGTAACCTGCAGGCTAAGAAAAAGAATAAATAAAAAATGAGGCAGTTATTTAAATTGAATTTTTCAAAGGATTTTTAGGCATCAAAGAAGTATGTTACTGCATGAGGTGTAAATTCCTCCATGGCACCCAGGAATAACACGAGATGAGTAAAAACCTATTGCAAAAAGAGTTAGGGCTGACAAAAAGCAGAAAGTCAGATGGAATCAGGAATAATTCCTCTGTCAGTGAAGGTGATGGAAACATATCCATCACAAAGAAATGTGTGAAACAAGGGGAAGGAATCAGGATCTTGTGTTTTGGTCAAGGGATTGAGACTGCTCCTAACAGAGTGGGCACCAAACTTTCTAGTGACTGCTTTGTTCCCCTGCTGAACTGAAGGTGGCAGTTTCAGAGCACTGTAAAGGATAAAGAAAGATTTTTCTAAAGATTAAAGAGGAAATCTTATTGCTATTGCAGCCACCTAGTAGGATGGTGTGGGGAATGTGGAGCCAGATCCTTCTCAAATATGCACAGTAGAAGAAAAAAAGGTAATGGACATGAACTGGAACACATGACATTCTGATTTGATATTAGGAGATCATTTTTCTACGATTGCAGCAGTGAATCTTTGGGACCTGCTGTCAACAGGGTCAAGAAATCTCATTTCTTGAATATATTAAACACACACAAAACCTCTTCTCTCTTACCACTAATGGTTTTCTTCTGACTTAATGATGCTTCTCTGTTATCGGCTCCACCTTATCACTGGCCATTACCTGACCTGTTATACATCCTGCTGCCATAACAAGCTCAAACTGTATTTATTGCCTGAATAAAGAGACAGAAGGGTTTTCCCAAAGCCCAGAGCTGCTCAGGAGGCTGTGTAACACCTCTGCCACCCAGAGCTCACAAGAGTTTCCCAAGGGGCTCAGTAACAGGAGGATTCACCTACAGTGAAGAAAAGCTGGCACATGGCTCTGTTCCATGAGGAAGCTCCATGTTCCTCATCTCTGATGATTGCAATCATTTCCACCTCCACATCTTTAATGTGATTATAGATTCTTCATGTGTAAGTGTATAAATCAAAATTTGATTCTTTCTGACTCTGTTGCCAGAATGATTCCTGGAGAATTCCATAGGTGAGTTGTGTCTGTCCACAACCATGTATTTTTCAGACTTCAGTTTGCTTTCTCATGAATCTTCCAGATTTCAGTTTGCCTTCTCATTTTAGGTAAGTGTTTACAATGGAAGTCTGTTCCCTCTATCAGCCTTCCTTTCACAGCAAATCCACCATGTGTACTCTCAAACCATAAACTGAGGTCCACAGATTTTCTTGGAGAGACTGTGCCTTTCATAACAAAAAATTATTCAAGCCATGCACCGCATGCCTGATTTACTGCCCTGCTTTTCATGGGTTTTGGTCTCAGGATGGGATTTTTTACAGTCTTTTTAATAAAGAATCAGGGTGGAGTGATGTTCTAAAATTCTAACAAACTCACTCTCTCTGACCATTAGACACTGCTTAAAAACTACAGCTGTGGGGAATTGTGTCACTGTTGTTAACTGAACTGAGACACCTCAATCTTCTTTTCCAACAGCAAGACTTCCTTGAAACAACCACCGAAATAAATGTTTTTTATTAAGAAAAATAAATAATACTACACATTGATACATTTTCTTCATTAACACTGTTTCATTTGGATCTAGTATTATAATTTACAGGATGCTTTGAGATCTGGTTCAGCTTTACAAGACTGAAATAGTGGCCAGGTGCCGCAGGCTTCGTAACGCGTGTGCAGGGTCATCTGTGGGCTTTTGGAAAGAGTTCACATACACATTGCAAACTTTCTCTGGAGCTGTGTGGTCAGGAAACTTGTACTGAATCCTAAAGCTCCTTTCCAGCTTTTTTCTTTTGTGCTTGAATTCCAAGATGGTTTTTGTATATTTATTAATAGTGGTGACAGCTGCAGCCATACAGCAAGCAAAGGAAGTCCATGCAAGGCTATAAACAAAAAAACCAAAATTATCAAAAATTAGCTAGACATTTTCATATTTGGTTTTATTTTTGAAAGCACTGCTTATGTGTGTGGTTGTGTTGGTGTGTATTAGGGAAAGATGAACAGGCTAGGTGAGGAAGAAATACTCTTGATTAACGACCATTTACTGAGTTGACCTCTAGATATTTGTTGTAATATCTACATTTAACATACCTGTTTAATGAAACCTCACCTCCAATTTCTCCCTATAAGCTCTATTTGAGCTTTAATTCTCTATTAAACTCAGAGCTCAATATCAGAAAGGGTTTTTATAAAAAAATGAGAATGCATAAAAAGTTAAAAGGTGCAGATATTAAGAGCATAAATCTCACAGGGGACATTGAGAAAAATGTGAGTTACCCAAAAGTGTTAAAAAGAACAGAGAAGGCACTATTAAATAGCAGGGTAAAGCAGGTTCAGAGCATTGAAATGTATTCCTAAGAAAATGAGTGTGAGAAAGGAAAGGACATCAACTCTGAAATGTTAAAAGCAAATCCCCAAGAAGACAGAACTTAAAAAATTATATTGAAATACAATTAGTTCAAAATGTAAGAAATTAAAAGCAGCATGGAAAAATATGGCCACATGAGCAGGAATTGGAGTTCACAGTGCAGGAACTTGCTCTTCAGTAGCTTTCTAAACATGCCAAGGTTACAATCACCAAATGAAATGTGCCTTGGAGAAATCAGTTTAAGAGGTTCTTGTTTATCTCACCTCTCCTTCAGAGCTGTTTGTAAACACATCCTTGATGATGTGTTTTATATCTGTCATTTATATTTTTAATATAATTTTAATATAATTTTATATGTAATTTATATTTTTAAATAAATCCTTCCCCACCCACCTTTCCCCTGTTCCTCTCCCAGTATTTTTGGCCAGGATTGATCTCTAGGGTGATCAGAAATCAGGTGTGTTGACAGAATTTGAGGATGGTGGACTATGGCATGGAGATGTGAAAGGCTCCCAGAAGCAAGAAGGGGAGAAGCTTGAGCAGTCTTTGCTCCTCACATCATTCAAACCACACCCTGAGTAAGCCTCAGGTGGGGACAGCTGTGGGAGAACTCTTGTAAAAGACAAATGGCATCAGCATCCCTTCCTCTCTTCCCATCAGAGGAGGTTTCCATGGGAGAGCAGCTGAGGGAGGCTGCAGATGAGGGCTCTACAGCAGGAAGGGAGGGGCAGGGGTGGGATATGAGAAAGGAGACAGCATTGCATGGAAGGGGACAAAAATAATGAAACCAAGGGAGACCTCTGGGAGGAAGGTGTGAGGACCCTGTGTGTATGGCTTGCTTTATTTTTAATTACTCTTTCTGAATAAATTCACTAGATCTCCTAAGACATGTACAGAATGACGTGGATGTTACCTAAAGCTATTTTCCAAGGTTTGAACCTTCCTGCCCTGTGCTGGGCACTGGTGAGGCCGCACCTCGAGTGCCGTGCCCAGCTCTGCTCCCCCAGTTCAGGAGGGGTTGGAGATGCTGCAGGGACAAGGCTGGGGAGGGGTCTGGAGCACAAGTCCTGCGAGGAGCGGCTGAGGGAGCTGGGGGTGTTTATCCTGGACAAGAGGAGGCTCAGGGGAGACCTCATCACTCTCTACAACTCCCTGGCAGGAGGGGACAGCCAGGGGGGTTCGGGCTCTTCTCCCAGGGAACAGGGACAGGACACAGCCTTAAACTGTGCCAGGGGAGATGGGGAATCTCTTCCCAGAAAGGCTGTTTGGGCATTGGAATGGGCTGCCCAGGGAGGCGGGGGAGTGACCATCCCTGGAGGTGTTTAAGGAAAGCCTGGATGTGGCACTGAGTGCTGGGTTTGGCTGATGAGGAGGTGTTGGGTCACAGGTCACGGTGATCTCAAAGGTCTTTTCCAGCCGGGTTAATTCTGGGACTCTGTGAAACGTTCCAGATCCAACAATCTGAAGCACACACGTGACAGGAAAATACCAACCCAAGTGACTGAAGCTGGAAGAGTTTTAAACAACTTAGGCAAGACGATTGTCCTGGGAGATGAGAATGCTAAACCTGGGTTTGGTGTGTAGGGAGAAGAACTTCTGCTCAGTGCAGAGCATTGTCTCTGTCCTGTCTGAGGAATGGCAAATACAAACCTTGCAAACTTCACATTCTGGGCAATAATTTAAGACATAATTTAATTTAAGACACATAATTTAAGATTTACAAGAGCCACACTTGGTTACTGAACTGCATACTCAGAAGTGAAATAAGGTAAAGTCATTGCTTATAAATTAGGTATATATAAATTCTTATATATATAAATTCTTATATTATATATATATACATATAATTTATATTATATATATGTAATTTATATTATTTATATAATATAAGAATTATATATATAATTCTTAAATTAGGTATATATAAATTTCTTATAAATTCCTTGAACATAGGGTGAAAGTGACTCAAATGTAATGGAAGAACCAAATATAAACCAGTTAATACCCATAGGACCAGCCATAATCCCAAGTGTGAGGTCTCCAGTCTTCAGGACCAAGATTTACAGTCATCTGAAATACAGTTGTGTACATCATGTGAGCAACCATGCCCAGAAGACCTAAAAAATACAATATTATAAAAACATTAGAAAATGTAAATTGAGGACATTCTTCTTTGTAGCTGTCCCTTGAACTCTTGAAGAATATTTTATGAAGTATCTGAATTCTACAGAGAGCTCAAAGATATTGGACATTATCATTTAAGTGTATTTGAAATGTTGTATATTTGTACACTTGGTTCTCATCCTCTGAAAACTTCCTGGTAGTGTAATCCTGAGTTATCACAGGAAAATATTGCTCAGCTGCATTGCACAGGACACATTTCCCAGTTTCCTGTCACTGAGAGGAAAGATTTTGAAAGCCATGCAGCTTTCTGCCCTCTCCCAGTGCTGTAAATGCAGCCAGATTTATCAGGTATGAGGTGAATGAAAAAGTGGACAAACACTAGAAAGTACTGAAAATCTGGGTTATGGAAGAAGCTGATGCTGAATAATTTCATTTGCATTGCTCAGATAGAATCAAGTGTATGTTGTACAAGAAATTGCATCTTCATTCCAGATTAAGGCAACTAAATTTGGTTTATACCTACAAAATGATTCATACATAAATTTAACAGCTAGGACAAATGTTCTTCCCTTTTTTAGTATTTCAAGAAATTTTATTCATAGAGGTAAACAGAATATCCAAGATAAACTTGCTGCTTCCTCTCTAGGTCTGCTTAATATTTTACAGGCCCAAAACAAAGAAATAATATTTTTAAAAAGTGAATATTTGTGATTATTTGGATTATTGTAGGTGGCAAAACTGCCTAAGGAGTTCAATAAAGTTCACATCTCTTTCTCTGAAAACAGACATGTCAGTGGATCATGAGGTTTGGTCAGGAGAAATGGGGCTTTTTTTGAGCAATAAATGGAACTGGTAATAGAGATTTTTAACTGCTTGGACATCTTTCAGGGAAATCTTTAAGAAGAAAGGAGATAATCCAATTACAGGCAGGAAAGGCTGGGGACTGCACTCAGGGAACTGAAAGAGCCATCTTCACATGTAAAACTTAAATGCAAAGAACAAGGAATTATCTTCTCTATTTTTTCCCCATTATCATGATCAGGTGTTTAATGAACTTCATTTATTTACCCCCAAAAAAGAGACTGGTGATGAATTAAAAATGTGATTATGTTTAAGAGGAAAAAGTATAACAAAAAAAATCTTTAATTCATAAGAAAAGGCACAAATGCATGAACATTAAATCCAGAAACATTAGGATCAGGATAAAAGCCGAAAATTTTGGCAGAGAAATGCAACCTTGAGATGAATTTTTTGCCATCTGTCTGACTTGCAGTTAAATGTCATAAAAGATATGCTATCACCAAGTATAAATCACTCTGAACACTCCAGAACATATGAAGCAGAGTGGCATGTGCTCCACAAGAAATTCTAGTAAATAAATTAACTGTAATTGCTTTACTGCAACATTCCTCAGTAAAAATTCTGAAATACAGATTGAATCTTTCAGGTGCCTTCAGAAATCTCTGGTCCAACCTCCTCCTGCTCAGCAGATTATAAACCAGATAATTCAGAGCTGATTCCTCAGACTGGACTAGGGAAAGTTCTCCCAAATTGAATTTGCCTAAAATCCTAAGATTAAATAGCACTGGATTATGAAGCAATGTGCAGAAAATGGAAGAAAATTTTAATGACAGTTCTCTATTAGCAATTACCCAAGTACATTCTCTTCCCTCTTAAAAGTGCTATTTGAGTTTGACTAGCACTAATTTTATATTTAGCATGTTGGAAATAAACGATCAAGATACTTGATACATTTTATTCATTAACACTGTTTCATTTGGATCTTGTATTATAATTTACAGAATGCTTTGAGATCTTTGATATCTGAAATAAAAAATCAAGTTACTTGGAAGACTACTTTGGCAACCAACCTGACAATTAAATGAAAAATGATCAAATTAAAACTATTAAGTTAAAGACAGCAAAAGCCACAAATACAAAATTCAAAACAGACCACATGAAGAAATAATTAATTAAAAATCATATTTTTCCCGTAAAATTTAGCCTCACTTTGTACTGTTAGCATCTCAGTAGGTATTGTAAAGGTTTTGAAGCATGGGCACTGTTATTAATTTTCAGATGGAAGAATGTTCTGGGTGTAATTAAAGGAAATGCTGGACTGTACCTGCTAGCACGGTGACCACTGCAGAGAAGGCGTTGATCTTCAGCCCATCAATGACAGAGCTGTAGTAGCAGATTTCCACTGACATTAGAATATTCCCAGTCAGGAGCAACACGACGTAGAGCAGCTCTGCTACAATAGACAGCCATAAAACCCCTGGAAACCAAATCAACAGCACTGCTACTATCAGCAATCATTTCATATTCCCACCATTTCCTTCTCCATTTGTATTGTTCATACAAACAGAAAAGGCTGTGAGGATGCTGTGAAAATTACTTCAGTGGCAATGGACATCCAAAATTATAATTATTGTATTACTGGAAATAGTAATAGTAATAATAATAATAATAGTAGTAGTAATAATAATAATAATAATAATAATAATAATAATAATAGGAAAAGCATGTTCAGCATGTTCCTGCTACACGTTTAGAATCTTACAGGTGGCACAGTGTGGTTTTATGCTCAGTGGTTTGCCTAAAATCACCATGAACCAAAGTTAATATAATAAAAAATTTGTAATATATATATATAAAATTTGTAAAATTTGTAATTAATATATAAACAAATTTGTTTATATAGAAGAGAGGAGCACACTGGAGCAGCAGAGCCAGTGAACAACCTGGAGGCCACACACACCTCCACTGCCTGTGGGTCTGCTCATTCAATAAAATCTTCCCCACAAGCTCGACTTTCAGCCAAACAGGATCTTGGCTTTTTTTGGACAGAGAAGCCTTCATGAGCCCAGACAGCCTCCAGGTTTCACTGGGATTCATTTCTCTAGTTATCTGCTAATTCCTCTCTTTTTGGAGATCTGGTAATTACATCTTATGCAAGAAGTTAATCCTCCCATTAAAGTCTCAGCCTGCTGTTTGACCTTTAGCCTGCTAATGTCCCACAGCCAGGAGCACGAGGCCTTCTTGTGTCCAAATTTGCTGTAGCAAGATCTGGCAAATGATCTTCCCCAAACCTTTTAAAAAACAAATGTGTCCTGAGGCACCTGTTTGTGGATTCAAGCAGTGATTTCATGTGAAGAGATACACAAAAAAATCACAGCTTAAAAACTGAAACACTGCTGAGACACATCCTTGATCACCAGACACCACCTAGGGTAGGAGGTGATGTCTGTGAGGTGTATAACCCCAAATTCTGGCTTTGACAGTGTCTGTGGGGCTTCTCTGATTCATGGGCCATTTAGACATTAAATTCTTGGGCCAGGCTATGTGTGGGTGTTCTTGGACATGGTTTGTTTCTCCAGAAAATCTGTCTCTGTAAAAAATTGTGATTTTCATTAGGAGGTCCAGATGTTGCATTGCCCAAGAGTTCTGGCTGCTCCAGCTGTGAGAATCTGAACATTTCTGGTCAGAGCCTTTCTAAGAAATGCTCTGAACAACGGGGATCAGTGTGAGAGCCAGGGCTGAGAGATTCGGGAAGGCTGAGCCTGGTGCACCCTGACTTTGGATCACGCAGCACCCACAGGGGCAGAGCACAAACCCCTCCTGTGCAGGGCAGGAGGCAATTTCCACACAGGATTTCACTAGCCAGGGAGAGATTTCTGGGTTTTAGGTACCTAGATGCTTCTTGGCTGTCTCCAGCTGGCCTGCCAGTGCCTGTACATTTGCTGATGCTGTTCAGAGTTAGTTTCAGCTCTTTGTCCACCAGCAATTCTCCTTGTGAGGAACCCTCAGGGCAGGGCCCACAAACACCCCTCATCTCCCTGGGACTACACCCACATCTCATTTACAGCTTTTTTCTCTCTCATTTACAGCTTTTTTCTCATGCTACAGAATTCTGTTCTGCTGTTAAGGCACTATGACAAGCTGCAGCAGGTAGAAGGAAGACTGGCCTTCAGACACTGAGCATTTCTCCTTCTCCAAGGATCTAAAACTGCATTTCCAGGAGAACAACCCAGTCCCAGTATGCTGGAAAGAAAAAGTTTTGGGGTTTTTTTCTGCATCAGCCACTTGTGAAGTGATTGGTCTAATCAGATCAGTGATGGACTGATGTTTTCATACTGGGGATCAGGAAGGCACATGGCAGCATCTGCAGGAATGTTTCCCAAGAATATTTGAAATATTCCATATTAAGAATTAGAATTCTTCCCTAAGAATTAATTATTCTTTATTAATAATTACTGAATGTTTGAAAGAAGATAATGGAAATGCCTCCTCACAGCTCTGAGTAAGGCACAGGGAGGGGATTCAGATTCCACCAAGGCTAGTTTGGTGCACAGCACATCTCCCTCAGTCCCCTCCTGGGTGGATGTTCACACACTGCCACAGAATTCCTGGCTGCAAACATGGAGGTATGAAGAGAGAGAGGGCAAAAATATACAAATTTCCACTTCCAGTACCCATATTCATATTCCAAAAGCCACTCATATTCAAGTGGAGTGTCTTCAGAAAGACATAGATTGATATTTTAAGTCATATGACCCTCATTTAGAAGTTGGAAAACTAAATAAAGGACAAAAGAACTATTTGGGATTAAAGCAATAATTTTTGAAATGAATTAATTTAATTTAATGCAGAATATTTATACTGGTAAGTGTGGTCAGGAAAGTTTTGACTACTAAAAAAATATGCATATCTACCTCGATCAGAAGCTGGAGTCAGACTGATAAAGCTTCGACATTTCTCACCTGAAAAAAAATATTAAATCAAATTCAGGATTATTTTGTATTCTGTAATGATCTAAAGGAATAGATTAATAGAAAGAAGAAAATGGAAAATCTATCACATGAGCAGAAAGTGAGATGATCAGCAGAAGCTGTTTTTAATGTCCAGAGAGACCCTGGTCCATCAACCTTCTCCTGAGGTTAACTGGAGAGTCCTCACAGACTATTTCAAGGTAGGAACAGAGCCTGGAAGATTTAGAGGAAGGCTGTGAGTTGATTTCCATGAGGTGGTAGCTGTGAAATCCAGGAGAGCAAAATTCCCTTGCAAACCTGGCAGCCTGGATTCAATCCTCTGTTAGGACAGAGCTGCTCTCCTTGCAGCAGCAACAAATTCCCTCTAAGCTTCATTCCAATTTCTTCCTGTAAGCTTTGATTTTCAAACCCATATGCCCTCCTGACCCCCACACAGATGCTGTGAACAAAGCTCTTGGAATTAATTCTGCTCTGATCTGAACATTCTGGGTGTTTTTTTCCAGCTCCTAACTGCCCCAAGTCGGAAAACACGAGCTCCCAAACATGAGCTTCCATAGCAGATGCTCAAATTACACAAGCCTGGCACCCACAGCTTGGATAAAAGGTGTCTTTTGGGTGTAATTTGCTCTGATCTTCATCATTTACCCCTTAAAACTCAATAACTTGCAAGAACTTCTGGTAGAACTGGACCTTCAGGATAGGGGACTGTGAAAATATTTGCATTTTACAGCATGGGTGACAGCTTTGATTTCTCTGAAGTTCTGTTCTAGAACTGTTCTAAACTGATCAGGACAATAAAGGGAAAAACTTAAATGTTGATCTGTTTTTACAATAAATGCTTGAATTCTTGAACCAGTAATGCCCTTATACAAAAATCCAAAATTGACTAGAAATTTTCTGTATTGGCAAGCTAATTTCATTCTAATAATATTTACATATTCAGAGTGAGACCCAATTAAATGCCACCACTTATGGCTAGTAAGTGTCCATATCATGTTTTAGCAGGATGGAAATAATCCTTTTCTACTTTGATTTATGCAAGGTGAGATCACAGTAAGAAAGCAGAAATACTTGTGCTCAAGAGGAAATCCAGGAACTCATTTAGATCCCACATATATATTAGGGCAAACAATTTAAAATAAACAAACAAAACATTTTGAGTTTTTTATGTTGTCATAGGGGATCAGAAATTATCATTTAAAGCAAGAATGTTAATTTTTTGACTAATGGAATAAAATCACTGGAAAAATGAAATGCTTTCCTGTTAAAGTCATTTCACTTGCTGTTATGGTGAGTAGAACAAAAACCAAATCATCTTCATCTGTACCACAACCTGTCACCTCAATCAAAACCCCAGCCTGGCACACCAATGTTCCTTGCAGAATTTATTAGGAATTCTTTAGGAATTGACTGGACAGTGCCCTCTAAGGTCCCCTTTGCCAGAGAAGAGCAACTTTTAAAGGCTACAAACACCAGAAAATACCCGGGCAATAGCAAAGCAGAGGGGAAGGACACACCAAATAAGCAGGAAGAACGGCGATTACTTTATCAATAAATTTTCATGGGTTTACTCACCTTCTTCATTTATCATTTCTTCACAGGAATACCAGATCCCAGCATGAAACTTCTTCTCCACGAACTTGTCATCTCCTGTCTCCCAGATGTACTGCACAGCCTGGCTGCTGTTGCCGTCGGCGCTGTTGAAGCGGATGCAGAGATCCCCTTTGCTGTCCCCCTTGCAGAAAGGTTTGGCCACTTTCCTCGTCCCTTCACACCAGTAACTGCTGCTGAATGCTGTGATAGAGAAGACTAAAGAGAGGAAACTCAGAGAAAATGCTGCTGAGGCTCTGTGCCGCCTGTCTGCCTCTGGGATCGAGGCTGGCATCTTCCAGAACTGCACCAGCAATTATTCTAGAAAGTCCCTTTTGCAAATCTGTGCATCTGCCTGATGAAACACCTGCCTGCTTTCACCATCCCATTCTTCATCCCTCTCAGAAAATTATGCCAGCTTAGGAGTTTAAGACAGAGAGCAGAGATCTGGGCATGACCAGAAATCATGTGGCAGGGGAGATTAAGAATAAAGGACAGTGTTGCTTGGCAGCAATGTATTGTGAAAGAAATGTGAGGAAGTGTGACAATAAATGATAATTTGCCCCATGAATCATACACAGAACACAGAAGCATTGGATGTACCCCAGTGTGCAATCACTAAAGTTTTATTTATACATACAAAACATGCCTATTCACCTTGCTTGGAGGTGGGGTCAGACTGATGGAATCTCTCTATTTCTGAGCTAAGGAATAAACAAAATCTCACAATTCCAAATGCTCCCATAACACTGAGCACTGTTTAAATTTGATACAGTTTTTATACTATAAAAAACTCACAAAGAGCTAAAACTGGTTGGTCAGCTACAGCATTTCACAGCATGCAGCACTAGAAAGGAGGCTGCCTGTGTTCAGAGTTCCACCAGTGACAAATAAAAGTCATAAATTACCTGACTTTGCTCTTGATGATTTTCTGGCCAGTCTGCCTCCATGAACATATAACACAAGTTTTGTCCAAGTGAGGTGAAGCATTAGAGAAAATGCTGAATTATCCTTATTTTATATGTGCATATTCTCACTCTGTGAAATAGCATTTCTTTTTCCTTCACTTAGGAACCATTCCCCACCTTGACAAGTTATATATATATTGTTTTTTCTGCCTGTTTGGTGATGCAAAGAACCAAAAGGAGCTGGTGTGTCAGTAATTCTGCTTCATTTTACAACTGTAAAGTCAAAACATGCCCTGGGGGAGAATGGTTCCACAGGACAGACACTGAAGTCACACAGGGATCTTCCAATGAAAGCAATTTGGATTTTCAGGACATCTCTCTGCCCAGAGATGTCAGAGCTGGAGAAGCAGGTGAGTCCCAGGGTGAAACTCAGGGCTGACAGGATAAATGGCTGATACAAAGCTCAGCTTACAGAGCTGGCCAGCAGCAGAGTGCAAGACCGAGCAGGTCTGGTTTACAAAGGCAGAGCAAATCTCACAAAAAACCAAAACCCAGAACTGGAGCTGGAGCCACGAGGTGTTTTTTCCCTGCATCTTTGTCTCACTGCACTTTCACCAGGGTTGTAGCACTTGTGAGAACAGGACTGGGAGCAAAGTGTGAGAGCAGGAGCGGGAGGGAGGAAGGGAGGGAAATCCTTCCAGGGATTAAACACTTCTCTGTATTCCTATTCCTTCAGTAATCTGCATATGGCTGTAATTAAAGATATTTTAGGGCCTGTGAAACCACTGATACCTTCTGGATGACAGCTGCAATCTGAGATGTTTCACAGACAGTTTTTTTGCTCAAGCCTTAGCAATGCTGGTACCACAACTTTCAAATCAATTTTTTCAAGCAAGAATGCTCCGTTTAATAGAAATAAATTGCATGAGTATTTATTGGTTAGTTGTGTCTAAACTGTGAAAAAAGGAAGAAAATAAGAGAGGAGCAAATCGATTTGCTGGACTTTACTTCAAGCAAAGTGTTATATTCAGTGATTTTTGCTGGAATAAAGTTGAGAGGTGTGTAAAGCAAATATCTGCAGGTAACACCGAGACAGCCACAATCCACTTGGCAACTGAAGCTTTGAACAGCTTTGAACATCACAAGAATTGTAATAAAACTTAACTGCTGCTAACATAATTTTTTTTTCATATTTAGATTCTCCCTGATCCTGCACATTTGACAAAACATGATCAAAAAGCATAAAACCAACTTTTACTGAGCAGCTTTCTGACAGACAACTGGAGTCAGCAAGCTTCCTACACACTTTTTCTGTGTTCTAAGGTGTCCTTTATTGCTTTCATGAGGTGTGTATAAATATATTTATACATATGTGTATCTCTGGAGCTGGATTGCATTCTGGAAAAATCACTGGCAAAATTCCTGTGGAGCTTCAAGGAACAGGATCAGCCCTTTAATGTTTTAATAGTTTTCTAACTTCTTATTGGCTAATGGACCAGCTACAGTAAGCAGAGTTGCTGTGAAGTTTAGACTGAGCTCTCTCTGCCTTTAATCAGAAAAAACAAAACGTAGCTGGAGTCTAGCAAAGCTAAACACTTAAGGAGACTTCCTCACTTATTTGGAAAGAAGATTCATGGAACAGTGGCATTCATAAAAGACGACTTTTAATTTTTACTTCTATTATTTTTTTATTTTTTTAAAATATAATTGATCTACGGAGTGAAATATCAGAATAGTGGGGACAAATTTATTCAAATGGGCATGGTGACACTTCTTGCTCTCTATTCCAGCATGGGACTCTGGTCCAGGATACCTCCAACATCTGCCAGCTCCATCATGGTACTGTTTCTTGTGAAACAGGTAAGCTAATTCAACAATCAATAATACAAAAAGTATAAAAGTGAATTCCTAGCATGTAGCATTTTACCTGTCACAACCAGCGTGTTTGCACCAAAAATCCTTCTGACATAACAACTTCTATTTATTACTAATTAGTCATGAGAAATAATGGCTGCAAAGCTGTAGTTTTACATTAGAACTCTTCTGGCTAGGTCACTTATTACAATTTTATTCTATTAATCCTCATTCATACAGTGAATAAATTATATTTACAACAATTTACACAATTACTTTTCATACCAGTATTGATCAATATTGAATTACATTTTTTTGTTCAGTTTTCCTACCAGATAAAAATACTATTATGAATCACATTTCTTTTCTACTGTTTTTTTCTCTGTTCTAAACCCAGCTTTGATTTGTTTCTGGCACAACCTTTTAGCCTCTGAGCATTGAATCCTGCACCTCACCTTCATACAGAAAGCAAATAAATCTGTATGAGATTTCTGCCTTTATTTCTTGTAGAAGTCCATTAAACCATTTTATTTTTATTTTTTCCCCTAAATCTTTACAAAGTTTGAAATGCTTACTTCTTACTTACCTTATAATTTGGAAGGGGTATAGGTTTAATGAGAAAATATCTCAGTGTAATTCACTTCAAGGAAACTTTCATGTAGATTTTTGGGATTTAGATTTTTAGGAATCCCTATTTATTTATTAATATCAATCTTCATTAGAATAATTTTTTAAAACAATTACTGACATTTGTTAAATTTCAATTTAACTAATATTCACACATCTATTTAGGGTACATTTCTATGATGTGTATGGGCATCAAGACAATAAACTGAACATAAGAAGGTATTTCTATCCACTTAATCTCCATTTTCTTGGGTTTCTAAGAAAGTGGGTTTGCAGCTGCATGCTGCCAACACATCTGTGTTTCTAACATTTTTATGAAGAAAAAATTATGAGGATATAAATACATTTTTCTTTTTATTTTTTTCTTTTTTTAAAAAATAAAATATTCCCAATAATTTCATGTAATTCAAATCTGGAGTTTCTCTGCTTAGAGCTTCTGTTTCTAGAACTGAAACTCTCAGATTTATGAGACACCTCAGCCAATGCATTAGTTCCATCAGTGCTAACAGAAAATCTCCCAAATACTTCTGTGAGATCAAACCTTTGCTAGACTAATCACAGTGAATTAAATTGTCATAGTGGTTCTTGCAAATTGTTTAAAGAAATACGAGCTGTATTTCTTTATATTTTATTTCATAAGAAAGAAACATTTAAAGGAATAACAGCCATAAATCACTATATCTGTATTTTCTAGCAAATACCTCTATAGCTAGGAAAATATCCATCAGACTAAACCTGGATCATGGCTGAAAGAATGAATAAATATTTTTCAGCATTTATTTTTAGTTTATGCCTAAATTGAAGGGGCTTTTTTCTGTCCATAAGAGCACACTGAATAAACAGGAGCATTTCATTTCACTGCTAGCTTAGTATAAAAAAAATTAAAAGGGTGAAATTCTGACTTTACTGTGGTCAGTTATGAAAAACTTAAATTTAAACCTCTCTGCAACCAAATAGAATCCATGTCCTAAATAAAAGCTTCCAGCAGCATTTTCTTCTGCATCCAACAAATTTCTAAAGAGTGGTGTCCTGTTGGTGCAATCAAAATAAATGGCCAGACACTTCCAGGGAATGTTGATTAAATTTCCTCATGGGTGAACTTCAGAGCAAGCAGGGGACAGGCTGGCAGGCTGAGGCAGTTCTTTTTTTACCAAACAACTTCAGACAACATGAAATGATGTCCAGTGTAGGACAAAAGATCACAGAGTTGCCGAGTTTCTGTCTGAGTTTGATTTTCCCGAGTCAGAAGTCGCTGTTTAAAAGCAGCGGCCGAATGGCAGCTGAAAGGTTCAACAGATCAAAAGCTGTGTGCTCCCGCTGGTTGAGATCATGGGAAATTTCCCTGGAAGTTTGTATTTGTACCATGGAACTTGCACTGTGTCTAAGCCAAGCCTTGGGTCATCACGGAGCTTTCCTGGGGTTTGCAGTCACAGCCTGTGCCAGGAGTTTGTTGGCTCCTCTCAGCACACAGGGCCCATCCCCGCGAGTCCTCAAGGCCGGCTTGGACAGGGCCTGGAGCAACCTGGGATCGTGGAAGGTGTCCCTGCCCTTGGAATAAGATCTTTCTTGAGGTCCCTTCCAACCCAAACCATTGTGTAATTCTGTTCTTCTGTGACTTGGCCTTCTCCATCAAACCAGGAAAGCCTGCACAGTGCAGCAGTGATCGCTGTGCTCCTCACACTGACCCACACTAGAGACCACCCTCTTCCTCAGAGACCCTGTGCCCCTCTCTGAGGAGCCATGGATGGCAGGACACCGAGGCAAGCCTGCCTCTGACTTTTCATTGACTCCTTTTCAGTGAAACACAGAACATCAAGGTGCCTCACTTCATTTCCCCTTCCCTCCAAAGTTTTTTCCTTATTCCCAGTCTACTTGCTTTGCCTTCAAGTGGCAGCTCAGAGGTATCAAAATGCTCCTTCTGTGACCCTTGTCCCAGGGGGAATGGCATGAAGCTGGGTCAGGGGAGGTTTGGGTTGGATATCAGGAGAAAGTTTTCCAGCCAGAAGGAGTTTGAGCAGTGCCCAGGCTCCCCAGGGAACAGACACAGCCCTGAGGCTGCCAGAGCTCCAGGAGTGCTGGGACAGAGCCCTCAGGACAGGGTGGGGTTCTTGGGGGGTCTGTGCAGGACCAGGAGCTGACTGGGTGATCCCTGCGTATCCTGGGACATTCTCTGACTCTCACAGGATGGTAAATAACTCTATAAACACACAGCTCATACAGAAAGGCCTTAACAGGATGTCCCACTGCAGAAAAGACTGAAATCCCCTCCCTGGGGCACCTGCATCAAACCCTTTCAAACCAAGAAGGGAATGGAAGCTGATTTTCCCCAATCCCAGGCACTGCCAGCATCCTTCAGCCTTTCTCTGTGTTTATGGCCTTTCCCCAGGGTGCAGGCCCCAGCACCCTGAGTAGTCATGCACAAACAGCAGGATTGCTTTTTTCAGCCTATTGTTGTTGGTACTCCCTCCATAAGTATCTGATAATCAATTCACAAGCTGCTGCCATTCAATTTATCATGGTTTCCTGTTGAATATGTGTTTATTATTTCTTTGAAACATAAATCTAAGGGGATTTCTTAGTCTTTTAGATCAACCATTAAGGACACTTGGGGCAGCCACAGCTACTCTGTGAAATGTTTCGTTTTGATTAATAATTTAATTTTTTAAAATATGTCCTTCTAACTATACTTAAAATTACTATTTTAAATATATATAAAATATATATTATATAAAAATATATATTATATATTATATATTATACATTATATATTATACATTATATATTATATAGTATATAGTATATGTTATATATTATATATAATATATAATATATAATATATTATATATTATATATAATATATTATATATTATATTGTAATATATTATATCATATAATATATTATATATTATAAAAATATAAAATAAAAATAAGAGCTGACAGCTCTTAACTTTTTTTGGGGGGGGGAGCTGCAGCTTTGATTCTGTGCAGACTTGATTTTTTTCATCAGAAAGTTTTATGGTAGAAAACAAATTTAACTCACAGTATTTACATCAAGAGTGACCAGGTATTGGCTACATGACCAAAACAAATTTATCTCACAGTATTTGCATTGACAGTGACCAGGTATGGGCTGTGTGACCAAAACAAATTTATCTCACAGTATTTACATTGACAGTGACCAGTGTGACCGTGCCTGCAGACTTGAGGGAATGGACAATTCCATCAGGCAGTGATGTGGAATTGTCATTTAGGCCTAACCTGCTCCTCACTCTTGCCCAGTGAACTTTTCCATGACTGTGTCTCCAGCTCTTGGTTGATGGAATGGGACCAGCCAAGCTGCCAGGTAGCCACTGCAAACTTTCCTTTCTATTTCCTTGGCTGTTGGGTGCATTTGTTTATCAGAAACCGGAGTGTTCTTCCTTCAGCCGAGCAGTCCTGTCCACAAATGCGTCATCTCCATGTCTCTGCCTCTTCAAATCAGGTTCACTGACCCACAAGTGTCTGAAGAATCTCCCCTGGCTCCCAACATTTTGAGGCCTGCATGAGGGAAATGTCAAGATGCTTTTTTATTTTGGAAACATGCATTCCTTTCTCATGGCTGCTGTAAATATTCTCTCCTTATCTTGCAAGCCCATCCAGGGAAGAATGATTATAGCCTTTCAAATCCCTCAAGCTTAAAGTGGGGTGTCTGGAAATTAGCTGAGAGATTAAAAGCAGAGTATTGAGCAGGCAACATTTTACACAGTAAAAATGCATGAAATAGTGATCTTGCATAAGAGCTAGCTGTTCTTGTTTTGAAAGTAAATAAATATGATTTTCTGCATTAAAATAAAAAACAAACCGTAGGTTTAAAGGAACAAAAGTGAAGTTCACAGCCCACATGTTATTCTGTTGGATATTATTCTATCATTTTATTATGTGGGAAATCTAGAGGGTGAAGACTCTTCTCACCTCTGGACACAAGAAGAAAGTAAAGTGGTGCCCTATTGAGGCAGAAAGGGGAACACACTGTAAATGGGCAAGTTAAACTAAAATGTACAAAAGTGTTTCTTAAAAAAATAAAAAATAAAAAGAAGAATAGAAAGCTGTCAATGGCACAGTTGCAATTGCTGGTAAAACAAGTGGTCTGTGAAATGCTGGGGAGGAGTACAGAATGCACCAGAGGTGTTAGTAGCTAAATAACATTGCTTATTCATTCCTGTTTTGTCCACTTTTGGTTTTTTTTCTATGCTACTCAACCAGGTGTGCTTGATTATCTTCAAAAATATTTTAAAACCCTTTAGACCTTTTTTACCTACCATTCCTCCATTCTCCTTTCTTCTCCTCTCCTTATTTCTGTGCTCAGACCAGAATTTCTTGAAATAGAAAGAAACTTGTCATTAAGGACTAAAATATTCTCACTGATTTTTCTCCTGTACAGTATTTTCACTCCCAGGCCAAAGGTTCTCTGCTGGAAAAAACCACTACTGGATGGAACAAATATAAACAGGAATGCTTGAAAATGCTGCAGGAATCATCTGTAGACAGTGGTAAGGAATTAAACAATGAAACATTTACTGAGTAACAATGATGAATGTGCAAATCTTGCTGTATGTCTGTTCCTAAGTTCTAAATGTAAACAATTCAGCTGACACAAATATTAGCCTAAAGTCCCTTGTTTCTTTTCCTTTCTCTGTGGTTTTGAATGCCTAGATGAAGAGCAGCACACCTAGAGTGTCTCCTCCTGAATTCACACCTCCCTCCTTTGACTGGGTGCTCAAAGTTTTCTGCTGTTTGCTTAAAGGAGACTTCATAATCCATCATTATTTCACTCCTAAATGTATAAATGTAAAATTATATACTCCTAAATGTATAAACTCTGCTCAGCTAGGTGTCTGTCTCCTGGAGAGGATGGCACAGTTTTGGTGTGAGCACTTGGAGAAGCCCAAGGTGTGGCTGCTGTTCACCAAGGAAAGATGAAAAGTGAATTTGTGCTCTCTGTTTTGGACTCACCGGCTATAGGCAGGCGTTGAAAGCACCCTCCCCAAATTTGTTGGTGACTCCAAACTGGGAGGGGTCAGAAGCCAGAGCCATTTGTGGAAAATAGTGAAGGGGAAACCACAGAAATCCAGAGAAAAGAAGCTTCCATACGTGACTATGTGACTACAGTCAAGGAACAAGACAGTGATGAGGACTGCAGAGGGAACCAAAGATTTTATGGGAAGCAGGGAAAGCAAATCATCCATCAGCCCAGCCAGTACACCTGCAGGATGGCTTACAACTAATGCTGACAGGGAAGAAAGGAACAGTAGAGAGCAGCTGGAAGTCAATAGCCTGTGGTGAGCACCTGGTGTGCAGGAAACATTAGCATGATGCAAAAGAGCAATGTCTTTTGCCAGGAAAGCAGAGAATGATGGCTTTGGTGGCAATTAGAACTAAGCCAGGTGACCCAGCAAGGTATCAGAGGGCAGTAGTTTTGAGTGGGTGATCTAGAGAACTACAGGGACAAAAAAAAATAGGTATTTTTTATCCTGGCAGCCTCCCCAGTCCACACTTAAACAAACAGAAATTGGGGAAAAGAACAATAAAAGTGCAGCTCTAAATGCTAACAGCTGCACAGATCATAACACAGATACTCAGCCTCAAAGGTACAGCAGAATGAGTAGGAATGTACATCCTGTGCTCTGCATTTTAGCAGAAGCACCCCAAAAAGATGCTGGTGAGATAGCACAGAGATATCTTTCTTGCTCCCTGTGTTCTTTTTCCTACACAATTTTCTCAAAGTATTACTAAGCACTATGGAAAATAAAGTGGGATATTCTCTTCTGGTTTAGGATGAGCAAAAACATTAAAGTTAAGAGAGATCTTTGGTGTTATCTTAAAAGAAAGACAGAAACCAACCAAGACACTAGAGCAGCCACTAAGGTATTTTATGTTGCTGTCACCTGCCTACACCTTTTCAAGTCTTCATTTTCAAATATTTTATTTTAACCTCCAGTCTGTGGGTGATGTGATAACTGTGAAGATTAAAACTGAGTTACTCTGAGATATTACCAGAGGTATAACCTCTGATAATATCTCTGGGAATAAGAGATATTGCCCAAAAACTAAAACGGGTCACTGTGAGAGACTGACAGAGGGGGTGTGAGCTGAGAACTGGTGTCACAGGGGTGGAAAGGTGGAATATATTCCATTTACCCAACTGCTGCATGCACCAAAACCAGTGAGGGACAGCATGGCTGGGATCTGACTCTTACATTTGGACCACAGAGGCCTGAGGATCATACAAACATCAAATCACAGAACCACAGAACACCCTGAGCTGGAAGGATCCACAAGGATCACCCAGTGCAGTCCCTGTCCCTGCACAGACCCCCCCCCAACAATCCCACCCTGGGCATCCCTGGGAGCCAAGATCTACTGGAGCTATGGCAGCCTTGGGAATGTCACCATTCCCTGGGGAGCCTGGCCAGTGCCAGCACCTCTGGGGGAAGAACCTTCCCCTAAAATCCAACCCAAACGTCCCCTGGCCCAGCTCCAGCCGTTCCCTGGCTCCTGTCAGTCACAGAGCAGAGGTTGGAGCTGTCCCTGTGCTGTCCCTCAGAAGGAATCTGCAGACCCTGGTGAGCTCCCTTGTGATTTTAAGCAATAACCTCAGTGGGGAGTGTGAAGCCTTCAGGTGATGAGTGGAGTCAGGGCAGAAGGGCAGCTCCTGTTTCTGTGCTGTGCATGGAGCATTGCACAGTGAATACACAACATTTATCTGCAACATCTTGTTGCTCTGGAGGAGCTTGCAGGTTCCCTGGAATGGTTTCCATGATTGTCCATTGTCTGGACAGCTTTTTGTAAAACTTGTATTTGCTTCTCTCCCCAGGAATACACTGCAATGGGACATTTGATCAGTTTGTTTGCTGGCCTTACTCACCCCCAGGAAATGTCTCTGTTCCTTGTCCTTCGTATTTGCCGTGGCTGGAAAATGGTAACGTGAAAGTGGTACCTTGTCTTGGAGTTTGTGTCAGGAATTCAGCTAAAGGAATTCAGTGTCCTCTGAAGGGAGGAAAAGTCTCACCTCTTTCCACCACTTCTCAACTGAGGCACAAAATAATTTTTGATGCTTTTTGCTCTTTTTCCCCATCTGAGCTTGCCACAGCTCTGTATTTTCTGCTGTAAAGGAGCATTTGCAAGGTCACAGAACCACGCTGCCAGGGTTTATTCTGAGTAAAAGACTCAGGGTTCAGTTTCTGCTGGTCCAGACACAATTCCAGAGAGCTGGAAGATCCAAACTCGGTGCAGGAGAGCGGGAGCAGCAGAGCAGCAGCGAGTGGGGAGCAGAGCAGCCTCCCAAGCCTCCCTTTCCTGCAGGGAATGCAGTGGGAGCCTCTCGGGAACAGGGGGAAAAATCACCTCCAGGAGCAAAACTGTTGAAGACCAAACAAGATTCCCATGAAGGAATGAAAGGGCGCTGCTATCACCACAGAGCAGCATTTCTGAATCCTGCTAAATTCCCTTTCTGAGCTGCTTTTCTAATTCCCCTCGGAGGGACCAGTTCTGCCCAAGTCCTTTAATTTATGGGAGACTACTGTCAGCTGCTGATCCCAGCTTTCTGCAGCCCAAACCACACGTGGTTTGTTCTTTAATATAATTCATATTAAATATAATTCTATATTATATATTTTATACAATAAATAATATATTATATTAAATATAATTAAATATTTAGTATTTTATAAAATAAATAATAAATAATATATTCTACAATATATAAAATATATAATATAAAATATAAATTATATATAATACACAATATATAATAGATAATATAATATGTAATATGTAATATATAATATAAAGTATAATATATTATATATAAGATATGATATAAGATATGATATAATGTAATCTAATATAATAAGATAATCTATTTTATAAATATAGTCTATTTTATATGATATATATTATATATAATATAAAATATTTTAAAATTATATATATTATATATAAATATATAAAACTCATTATATTACATATAATAACATATTATATTATATATACTAAAATGATAAGTATTTTATATATGATATATTAGATTGTATATTATATATATTAAAATATATGTATAATATATATTTAATATATATAATGTATTTTATATTTATAAATATAATAATGTTATAAATAATTTTGATGCTAATAAGCAGTAAGACACCAAGTTTCTATCTGATCTCCCCAACTTCTTCTGCCAACCATTCAGAACACACCCAGCTCTTCATAATAAACAAAAGCATCTTGCCTCCATGGAATGGAGATTTTTTTCCTATCTGAATTTCTACAAAAGCAAAATTTCTGATCACATTTCATGGATGGTTTAAGGTTTTTTCAGTGGCTAGTATTCATATCATCCTGCTCCATCACAACAAACTGTGCTCCCAAAGCAATTCTCCCAGCTCTGAGCTGAGCAAAACAAGATATTCCGGTTGTTGCTACCACCCTTAAACACTTCAACTCAAAAATGATTGGAAAAGCTCAGGTCTGATTAGAAATAAACAGATGGCAGCTGTTAAGGACAACATCAAACACAACCTAGCGTCCTCACACCATTCCTCTGATGCTCTGGGCAAATTCCTAATTAGGATAAATTGGCATAATGCAGGAAAACCAAGAAATCTTCATCAGTTCACCCAACCTGCTGCAGGGGCCCAGAGCACAGAAATGAAACACCAGCCTGCAGCATCAGGAGAAAGAGCATTCCCCAACCAAATCCTGGTCAATGAATTACCCATTCATGAGCTTAACGAGGAAAAATTAATAAAGTGAGAGGTGGGCTTCTGTTTTGGTTGTACTGTGTGGGTTTTCTTGTAAAAACCAGGTACATTTTGGGAATTTATTTCTGCTGGATTACATTCCCACTTTGTCCTATGTCAATATAAAAAATATATTGACAAAGGCAAAAGAAAAGTGGGTTTTATTCTTTTTTTGAGTATGGATGGTGTGGAGTCTATTGTGGAGGTGTAAGGCAGAAATCTTTCAGATGTGTATGAAAAATGAAATCTCTGTTTTGACCTTTCAAACCAAAACTCTGTTTACTTTCAGGAAGTGTAGGACATGTATACAGAGTCTGCTTGGATGAAGGGATTTGGCAAACAAAGGAAAATTCCACAGACATTTGGCGGGATAGTTCAGAATGTTCTGAGAAAAATCATTTCCAAAAAAATGTAAGTATGTTTTATATTACGGTTGAAAACTTTAATCTTCTTAATCCTTTCCTGAGTAATTGACAAAACATTTCCATTTAATATCTGCAAAAGATCTTCAGATTTCATTTAAATTACCAAATGGAAAGCTGTTATTTTATTTATAAGAAGCAGAAGAGAAAATATTAAAAAGGGGATTCCTGCTTTAGATGCCACAAGTTATTTTCTCTTCAGAGTCCAGTGTTCACATGTGCTGATTTTGTCCTAATAAAATAGAAAAAAACACTGCAACTTGTCAAGCAAGTAAGCATCTCCCAAATCACATTAGTCTGTCAAAGTCAGACAACTTCCCTTCTGAGCCTTGCAGCATTTCATGAGCTGTTAATTGGTTATTTCAAAGTTGGCTGGTCAGAGACTGGGGGATTCACCCTCACCTAACACCATCCTTCCTGTATTTCTCATATTGCATCAGGCCAGGGGCTGGACTTTGTCAGCCAAACTTCTTTTGCCATGGAGTTCAGCCTAGCAGATGTCACAATTAGGTCTCTTAGGTAAGCACTATTACCATTATTTTTGACTTTTTAATACTGACCGAGTGCTGTTTCTTACTTTATCAAGTACCACTGCTTTACTGATTAGTTATGGAACATTATTAGTTTAGTATCTCTGTGTATTGCTACTTTTTACTGAGCTCTTTATATAGTAAGTACATGGATTTCCAAACTTTCAGTTTATTTATGCAAATATAATAAATATTCATAAGTTCTGAGTGTTTTCCAAGGTTTGTTGACCATTCTGGATAGCATATTTGTTTCTGCAAGACATATTATTTCATCTTGTGTGACAGCAGGCAATTTCTTTGAAAGCTTTAACCAGTTTTCCTACCAACACTAAATGTGGGCTCGTACCTGTTTGTTTTATATAATTGAAACCCCCCAAGGTGTTGGAAATAACCCAGAGCCTGTATCTTCACACATCAGAGGAATCAGCTTGGTTTCATGTGCTTTGGTGCTGCAAAATTGAAATAGCCAAGATGATAACTTGAGATTCTTACAAGGTTTTTACCTGCTGGGATATTTCCACAGAGCAGAGGCACTGACAGCTGGGAATCTCTTGCTTTCCCTGGGCACTTTCACCCCTTTCAAGAGAGGTTTGGCTCACGAGCATCAAATTACTGGAGAAAACTGCTGGCAGGAAGGCAGTGCTGAAGTCCCTGGTGCTGAGTAGTAGAACTAGAAAAACAGCAAATTCATTGAGGAAAAGACACACGTTCCAAGAAAATCTCTGTTGGCCAAATTGGGAGTATGAAAGCTACAGATCCTGGATCTCATTCCCTCTTCAGAGATGCTTTCCTTAGGCCAGAAGTTTGAATAGTTGAGAGGTAGACATAAGCAGCTAAAATAGAAAAAACTTAGGAGAAAGAAATGTTAAATTAGGCAAATTGGAAGGAAATTGGTGCAGGGCCAGGAGCTGGAGTTCAACAATCCTTGTGGGTACCTTTCAGCTCAGGATGTTCCATGATAATCTATGAAAGTGGGAGTAGTTCCCTTCCTCCTCTGAGGTCTTATTTGTCATTCAAAGACATTCAGGACAGCTCTGATTTAATAATTATTTGTTTTCCTTTGAACTCAGGAGGGAAGTCAGTCAGAGCTGACTCTCAGAACTGTTCAGACACAGCTGGCAGTGGCTGTCTGCAGGCCACACACCCTGGTGTGTGCAGCTTCACTGAGCTCCTCTCTGCAGCTTTTAACCCACCCCAGAGTCACAGCAAGGCTCAGCCGTGGTTTGGACTGCCAGTGGTGTTTGTGCCAGGGAAACTGGGAATATTCTGGGAGTGCCTTTGTATTTAAATAGGAATTCTGGGTGCAAGTGTCTCTGTCATACACTGATTTCAAAAGGCAGTGCAGAGAGCTTAGGATCCTGCCCTGGCTCCTTGAAACTCAAAGAAGGCGATCCCCAAAGTTTCTGAGTTGTGTTTCTGCTCTGTCCCCCTGCCTACATAACATATTTTTCTTTGTTCCCAGGAAGAAGAACATAAACTCCTCACCACATTACAGCTGCTATACACTGTAGGATATTACTTTTCTCTCATCTCACTGGTATTTGCTCTATTTATACTTTCTTTACTCAGGTTAGTATAAATTTACATGCATTTTAAATGTACAGAGCCCTGTATTCATATTCTTCTTTTTATGAAATTGATTTTTTTCTTTAATTTCCAGTGTTTCAGTGACTTCCAGTACCTGAAGGGGCTACAAAAAAGCTGAGGATGAGCTTTGGACAAGGGAATGGAGTGATAGGCCAAGGGGGAATGGCTTTAAGCTGAAGATGGTACATTTAGATTAGATATTAGGTAGAAATTCTTCACTGTGAGGCCCTGGCACAGGTCATCCAGAGAAACTGCCCCACTCCTGGAAGATTTTAAGGCCAAGCTGGACAGGCCTTGGAGCAATCTGATCTAGTGGAAGGTGTCCTTGCCCATGGCAGGAGGGATAGAATGAGACGGGCCTTAAGATCCTTTCCAACCCAAACCGCCCTGTTGATTCTTAATTTGTATTTTGCTAAGAGCAATGCAAATGCAATTTCTAAGCAGAATCCATTGATGGCAACAATAAAAATGCAACAGTTGTTTTGCTGGGTTTTTGCTGGTTTTTAAAAATTTTTATTTCTGCAAATTAGATCTGTTCCAGAGGATTCATACACTGTTTTTTTCTCCCACAGAAAACTTCACTGCACAAGAAACTACATCCATATGAATTTATTTGCATCCTTTATCTTGCGTGCAGCAGCAGTTCTTATAAAAGACTCTGTGTACTACAATATTTACTCAAAAAGGCCAAATGATGAAACTGGATGGATATTATACCTGAGTCCAGAGGTAACGTGGTAGTTCACAGCTAATAGTAAATGTGTGCTTCTAGTGCTCAGAACAGTTACAGTTTTGGAAATTTGCCCTACAGAATCAAGCGTTGAGGTGTTTGTAAATTGAGCTTTGGATGCTGAGATTTTGTGGATAAAAGTTGGGATAATCAAGATGAAATCCTGATTGTAAGAGATTTATTTTAAATGAATAGAAAGAACATATTAATTGATTGTAATGTTCAGAAACAGCCACTTTAGCAAAACAACTCACACCTTGCAGCCTTTAGAAAGAAATCTCTGATTTTATTTGGCACTTATTTACATCTCATTTGTGATCACTGTGAATAAATTATTCTTGTACATTGTTGTGGGAATGCAGCTTGCCCATATCAACAAAGGAAATTACCTGCAAGATGTTAATGACTAATAGTTTAACAGCTCATCAATAAAAACTCTCACATGCAGATCATGACATCTATGTTTGCAGTGACTCCTCATCTCTCATCCCCACAGATTGTAATCATTTGCAGGACTGCCCAGTTTTTCATGCATTACTTTGTTGGGGCAAATTACTTCTGGCTTTTAGTAGAAGGGATTTATCTGCATACATTATTGATAACTGTGGTGCTCTCTGAAAGACGACTGCTGCAGACATACATCGTGATAGGGTGGGGTAAGTCCAGATCTGTTTCCAAGCACTTTTATTTATTATTATGTGGTGCTTTGCTGAGTCAGTGGAGGGAAAAAAAAAAATAAATCTGAATTCTGTTTTATTCATTAGTTTCTTAGCCAGCAATTGTAAATGGAGATATGTCAGCAGTGGTTCATTGGCTGCAGTTCAGCTTGAGCAGGAAATCAGGGAATTGTTTCATAAGAAAACAGATGCCTGGTGGGCAGAAGAAGAAATTTCCTTATATTGGGCTCTATATTGTCATCACTGAATATTATGGTGCTACCAGCACCTTCATTTCCTCCCTTTGTAATAGAGCACTTCTACAGCAAAAATACCAAATCATTAACAATTTTCATTTCAATGCTCCCCCTTCCCAGCTCACCTGAAAGTTCTCAGGTGTGCTTTAAGTTAGGAGACAATCTGAAACGCTGCGTGAGCCAGGTCTTACATTTCAGGCATTATCTATGAAATAAAGACAATTTAAAGGTAATTCCTTTAATGGTCCTCACCATTCATGCCTGGATTTCTCTGCTCCCTCTCGTGTTCCTCTTTAAAGGACCCTTGGCTCTATGAGCCCACAGGTTGCTGATGCATCAAGACCACTGTTTTTTGTGCTGTTTGGTGTTGCTTTATTCTTTCATTATCTCTAAATCCCCTCGTTGCTTTGATCACCAGCTTGTGGGAACAGGGAGCAGTCATTTCATTCCTTCTTCAAACTGCAGTGGACAAGTTCTGTTAGGAAATTTCCTCCTTATCAGAAGAGTATTAATAATAATAATGATTATTTTCCTGTTGGTCCTCGTCCATTGGTCACATCACATTCACCAATTTTCTAAAGGCTTTCCCCACAAATTAGCTTTACTTTTTATTTATATTTATTACAATCCCTGCTAAGATGGGACATGTCTTACAGCCATTTGTAGTACCCCTGGCCCAGGGCTCACACTGCCATTTCCTCAGCTGCTGCACAGGAGCTGCATTTGACATCATCCCCTCCTCATCCTGGTGTCACCTTTCCTCATGGGACCTCCTCAGATCCCCCTGGATCTGAGTTCTGTTCTGTTCCCCACACCCCAGGTGTTCTGCAGGCCCTCTCTTTGCACCATCTCCCACCCAAGTGAGACCCCTTTTATCTCTTTCCCCCTTTGACCTACTCAGAAATCTATTCTCTTGGGGAGTATTTTGTTTCTGGCCCCTTCTCTGTGTTGCCACACTCCAGCTCTCTCCATGACCTCAGTTAGAGTCCCAGAATCCTGAATATCCCTGCTCTGGTCCCAGGGACCCACAGCTCTGATTTCTTCCACTTCCACCAGAAAATCCCCTGTGTGTTACTGGGTTGAGAATTCAGTGGAACATTCCTTGTTGTAGTTGATGATTTGAGATTTGTGCTTTAGTCCATTGGAATAATGCAGAAATCCTTTAGGGGTTTTATTTTCAGCCTGCAGTCTGTGATCTCCAGGAAGGGCTGGGGGCAACAATGAGATGATTTGGATTCTCTTGGAGGGGTCCAGGACAACAATCCTTTGTCAGCTGTTTCAATATCCAGGCAGCACTCCATGCCTTCACTGAAAACTCCTTTAAAATTCAACAACTGTGCCCAGGGTGGTCTGTGAGGCCTCGAGTGCCAATTTGAGTTCTCAGGGTCAGAAATTGAGATTTCAGCAGATCAGGAGTGTGCTCATGTGTGAATGTATTCATCAGTCTGAAAATGCAAGATTCAACTATACCACGAAAAATAATTTTGTGTTTGAACTACAAATTCAAATGGGGAAAACCAGGATGAAGCTGATTTTTGTACCATTCTGAACAGAAAGCTGAAAAGCAGAAATCTTTTCCCCACACCTTTCTACAAGCTTGGCTGGAATAGACTCTTCTTTTCTTTTCAGTTGTTCCGATCCTGTTTGTGGGCCCTTGGGGAATAAGCAGATCCAAACTGGAGAACACAGGGTAGGTTATTAAATAAAATGTTCTTTGGAATCCTGACTTTCTGCTTGCTTGGCTGAAAGCCCTTGGCAGTACTTGACACAAGAACTGAGCAGCAAATTATCAGATTATACAGCACCTATTGATACTTGTTACATTTTCAAGGTTCCCTTTAGTACTTTCACTAAAGGGAAAAACTTTCCTTAAAAAGGAATTCTCAGATTTACTTAAGCATTTTAGCAAGGCGTAGAATGAACTTCCACTGCTCCTGAAATGTTCATCCATTTACATGAAGCAAATTGTGTGCACCAAGACCTTCATGGAGAGCATCCATCAGAGGAGAAGAGACCAGTGCTTTCCTTGGAGACTTTGAGTTCAATTTGGATTCACTGCCACTTTTTTAAGAAAAAAAAGTGAATTGTAATGGAGGCTCATGACAAAACCTGAAAGTCACAGAGAGCTGATACTTGGTGAGGACATCAGGGACAGTAGCATGCACTGGCAAGCACCAGTTTCTGGTCTCCAGTGATGCTGTTGGTGACATCACATAAACTTTGTGCTTTATCTATGGAATCTTTTGTTCTCCTCTTACTTTTTGTGGTTTCTAGAGAATTTTATTTGCAACGCCAACATGGATAATAAGCAACATCCAAACCATAATTACAGTCTTATGGAGTCAGATGTCTTATAAATTGCAAATGACAAGCCAAGATCCCACAGAACCTCAGGCTAACCAGCAAGAAGAAATAGGACAAATCAGAAGGTTAAAACAGGAGAAAAACAGGCAGCTTCAAGGAAACAGTATGCATATTTTTTAGCAGATCAAGAAGCATGGTCACAATTCCCGGTTTACTCATTTCCAGTCTCCAGTTTCAGACAGATAATTTAAGTAGGATTAATTCCATTATGAGGGTTTGGTGTCATGTTTTGTGGATTCAAGGAGTTTGCCAGACAGTTCAGAAGTTTATGGTCTAGGGAAACCTTTATCAACATTGATGTGGAAAGATCTTCAGAGTTGTTGGTGAAACTCTTCCTAGTTTGATTCCATTTTTTTGGGGGGGGCACCTGAAAAAATTGAACTTCACCAAGTTCCTTTTGAAATATATACACAAGTTATGTGAGCATTTTAACATTTTTTTTCTATGAAAGTAATTCTATTTTAAATTATTCTCCAGGTGCTGGGGAACAAATGAACACATGGGGATCTGGTGGATCATCCGAGGACCAATGTTGTTTTCCATTGCAGTAAGAATTCTATAACCTGTATTTTTTCTTCCTCCTTGGTCTTTTTAATTTGTGCCATTTTTGTCCTTCAAAATTTTGGAACAAATAAGACCACAGAAATATCATGGGAGACATAAAGTGACAGAAGAGATAAAGCTTTGTTCAAAAAATGAGGAAGCAGGGTTCTGTATTAAAAAATTGAAAGGTAATTTTGTACTGAAGGATCATGTATCAAATTATAGGTCAACCTGAATAAGGCAATGCTAAGTTACTCAACTTTGCATGTTTAGTATGTGAAAATAACCTGCTTGTATTCCAACCTCATCCCAGCTGCATTCCAGTTATTTGGTGGCAGGTTTTGCAAGTGTTTAATATCAATTATACATTTATTTAACATTTAACTGATTAGTGTCATAACATTTGCAGTAAGTAAACCATATGTATTTTCCTTCAAGGTTAACTTTGTCATCTTCTTAAAAATTCTCAGAATGTTGATTTCCAAACTAAAAGCTCAGCAAATGAGTTTTCATGACTACAAATACAGGTATGTAACAAATGACACAGAAGTTCTGGCCTCTTTTTAAAAATTTTGTCACATCAAAAACTTGTCAGTTTTCCCTGAAGATGTATCTACCACCACCAGGTGTAATAAATATTCAGAATGTGGGAAATAGATATATTCAGGATATGATGAATATTCTTAATAGATATTCAGAATGGGGACTCAGGCTCCACAGACATTTCTCTGTCTGAGAGACAAAGGCAGTCAGCACCTGTGTGCTGAGCTTTGGGGGCATTTTCACAAAGGCTCTTCAGTGCAGTGAGATCTCTGGTCCCAGGTATCTCCTCTCACACCTGTGCCCTCTGCTGCAGTGACACATTTTTGTGACACATCTTTCCCTTTGTCACTGAAATTTGGGAAGAAAAAGAAAAGCCCTCTAGCACTATCTTTGTAGCCTGATGGAGAGTCAGGCATTACTTTATTCTGGCCAGGATGTGCCATGGAAAACACTTCATTTACACATGCCTTTTAACTAGACTTTCCACAGATTTATGCACACATTATTCTCAAAGTAATTCACAAAACTGCTACTACCATTCCAAAGTCAGAATACTGAGGGCAAGTTTTTGGAATAATTTCTTTGAGTTTTTGTTTTTTGGCACCAAGGATGTTTAAAAATACAACAATAAATTTCTTTTTAAGATTGGCAAGATCTACACTTGTGCTGATCCCATTGCTGGGGATCCATGAATTTGTATTTACCTTCATCACTGATGAACAGGTGGAAGGACTTTCAAGACATATAAGACTTTTCATTCAGCTGACAATGAGCTCATTTCATGTAAGTACTGTTTTGCAAGCATTGTTTTCATAGATCCATGTGCATTTGCTGCTCACTACAGTTAAAGTAAATTTAATTTAATATTGTATCCCAACCTACAATGTCTCCAAATACTCTGCTGCATTAACAAGATAAAACACTCACAAACTGCATACTCAAAAATGATAGTCCCAAACACCAAAAAAAAGGAGTCAGACATTTTCAGAAAAAAAGGTGCCCTCTGTAATAGGTAACAGTTCATCAAAAACCCCTGAAAACAGGATTCAAATGGTCCATTTAAAACACTCCCAGCCAAAATCATAACCATGAGAATGTCTGCCTCATCCAAGGTTTGGGCTCCCTTTTCCCAAATTTGTTCAGCTTATCTGCAAAGTGACCCAGTGGACTCCCAGGTGTGCACCCACAAAAGTGCTGTACATTGCATCAGTTTTTAGTTTTAGGAGAAAACTTGTCAGAGCCCTCACATGGATGGAACAGAAATCATGTCTATTGTGGATGGACCAGCATCTGCAGGTGGAAATTTGTCACCCATCGAGTCAGGAGGATTTTACAGATGTTCAGGCACTTGGCTCCTCTTCAGTGCCCCTGCCTTAGTTTGGGGTGAGTGGGAAAAGCCTGAGATGAGGAAGGGAATGTGAACTCCGCCCTCAGAGCTCAGCTGCAAGGCTGAGGGGGTGAAGGAGCCCCACTGCAATAAAACATCCAGCTCCTAGAGCATATTCCAGAGGGAGCTGTTACTGGAGCTCAGGGGTGATTCTCTGGTGGCCACTCAAGCACAGGGTGTGCTTCCCTGGGACTCTGCTCTCCAGGCTGCCTGGCCAGAGAGCTGGGCACTGGCACAAACATTGCCTCTGCCTCTGTCTTGAGCTCTGCAGCCTGCTCAGTGATTGTTGAGACAGTACTGATGAACCTGCTCAGCAAAGCTATCCTTTACCCACATCTTCCTGCCTTGATCTCCCTGGGACACCAGGACAGCAATTTCCAGATCTGTATTTGCTGCAAAGCCCAGTGATCTCTGTGGCTCCAAGTGGCAGCTCCTCAGTGATTCACTGCTCTGACACTGCTCCCCTGCTCTGCAGCCTGAGGCACGAAGCCATCCCAGCATTGCTGCACTTTTCCCACAATTTATGATGATCCTGGGTTTTAACCTTTGCATATATCCACCTGTGCTCTGGTGTATGTATGCAGCAGTGTTTTGACACTGTTACTGAGGCTATACTCAACATATAAAATTTCCACCACAGCTTGAGGGGATAAATGTCCCAAGTGACAGCAGAGAATTCCTGGAGAGCCACAAGCCCAGGGAGCCTGCTGACATGGTGTTCACAAAATCCCAGAATTATTTGGGTTGGAAGGGAACTTAAGGGTTCCTTGGTTAGAAATAGCCTTACTTGGAGAGGTTGCAGTGCCTAGATGTTATTTTAAAAGCGCAGAATCATTTTAAGTGAAGATTTTATTTACTGGCTTGTACAAAGAAATCTGATATATAAACCAGCTTACTCATCCTTGCTAAAGAACACAAACTTCACTCCTTTTAGAGAAACATGCATGTGCTTGGCAGCAAGCCATGCTTTAGAAGCAAAGCTCCATTAAAAAATACCCAGAGATCTTAGCCAATGTTTATTGCAGATTCTGTTTTTTAGCTGCAGCATTATTTATGAAGGGATTAGCCAAAAAGCACATAAACTGTACCCAATTACATTTGTTTAGTCTGTAAATCTTCTCAGTAGTTTTAAAAGGCAGTTAAACTGTTTTGTTAAAGAAAAACAATTATCCCTGGGATCTCAGCTGAAGGTTTAACTCAAACATTTTCAAGAAGTACAAAATTAAATTCTAAATAGGAGTTCTGTTGTAGGTATGATGCTGCTTTGCTTTAGGAAATGGAGCAATCTAAACATCTTGGCTCGCTTGTGCATGGAAATTGTTACCCTCAGGAAAGAAACACTGGTTTCTGGTGGAGATAACTGGGTTATCTGATGAGTAATTTATCACATTACAACTGTCATTAGAACTGAAGAACAACAGCAAGGCTTACGTGTGCATCTGTCCTTTCCTACTGGTGCTAATGAACATTTCTTCTGAATTTCTGATTCTGCGTTTTCACTCACACTGGGATAATTCTGAACACGTGTGTTGGAGAAGTCACAACACATTGGAAAGGTTTCGAAGTGTGAAAATCAATTTACTGGGAGAAAAATGAGCAAGCATGAAAGAAACCAGGATATAAAGTGAGCATCAAATATAAATAATCAGCGAAGTCTTCCAGCTCCTGGTGGGATTTCACAGCGCTTGTCACCGCCTGCTCCGATCCTGCAGCGACAGTGAACGACATTCCCAGAGGTTTTTACAAACTGAGATCAGCCCAGGGAGGTTCACACAGGCAGCTCCTGAGCCCCTGCCTTTCTCCCAGTGGTTATCACCAGGCTCAGGAGTGTTTAAATCCTGTTTCTGCTTGAGGTGCCTGTGAGGTCAAATTTAAGAGTTCATACTCATAACAAAAAACCACCCAGCAGAGCCATGAACTTTCTGCCCCCCCCAAAAAAGAGAACTGCCTCCAGGAGCAGGAGAAGTTCTGTATAAAAAGTTGCTTTTTAAGCTAGGAAATTTGTATTTGATATAATATATTCTAAGATATTTTAATATTTAAAATAGTAAATTAAACTACATTATATATTTGTGATGTAATTATTATGTTACAATTTGTACTTAATATCACCTATTGTTAACTCTAATTAACTATATCTTCCTCCCATAACTCAGGTGAAGCATGAAAAAAGATAGACATAAAACACATGGAGAAAGCAATTCTGTTTGCTATTTCTCCTGTCCCCATTTCCACTGGTGTGGCAGATAAACTGCACATATGCTTAAGGAATTAATGACTCTAAATATTTCAGGACTGCTAGAAAATTAACAGCAGGCTCAGAACGCTATTGGTTAATTCTAGATATAATGAAAAATGTTGAAGCTTCTGTGTATGTGAATTTAATTTTAAACTTATGTCTGGGCAAAGCAGAAACATTTCTGGAAAAATGTGAGAACAATTGAATGCTGTCAACTGAACTGCACCTTTTTAGCTGCAATATAAATATTTCCTTGGGACTCAGAGTATTTATTCTCTTAATCAGAACTTGTGTCACAGATGCCTTTAGACACACCAAAAAAGGGCATTTCCTGAAGCAGTGGGAATAAATCTGCATGTCTGTGGGGCTGAGATGCAGCCTGGGTAATCTGCTTTAGCCTGAGATCAAACACAGACAGAAAGAGGCAAATGGAAATAATAATTTGGGGGTTGGTTTAAAACAAGTTGTATCTGTAGGATTTTTTGAGGTTTTTATCTAAATCAGTTTCAAAGGAAAAACAGCAATTCCAAATGGCCATAACACTCAGTGTAGCTGAACTTTGAACTAACACTAATCACTTAATATAGAAATAATTTGTAAAAAGAACCCAAATGAGAATCACTCACAAACAAGCATACAGATAATATGAGAATTCAAGCTGCATCTTTTTCATTTTACCACATTTGGAAATAGCAGCAGTCACAGTATAACAGCAATAGTTTGGAAAAAAACATTATGGGGTAGCAAAATGAAGATAAAACTGGGTTTTGTAATCTGTTCTTCAGCATCTGCACAGAATGTGCCCTGCACTTGCCAAGGACCTTCACAAAAACAAGTGACTGGGTACTTCATTAATAAATAAATGCAGGCAAATAGTTTCCTTTTTGAACATTAAGGAACACTGCTTATATTTATGTTTTTACCACTAATGTCACATTTAAATTATACCTTCAGGTATTTCCTGCACACTGACTTTTTCCTCTCACTCCCTTTCTCTTACAGGGTTTTTTGGTAGCAGTTCTCTATTGCTTTGCTAATGGAGAGGTAAGACACAATGCTGTGAGAGAAGTTTTTAGTTCATTAGTAAAGTACATTAATGTCACTGAGGATGATGAACACACTGACCAGCTCTGCTTATTGAGAGCATATGTGTTCTTTTGAGCTGGTAAAATTGTTTTGAGTGAAGAGAACAGCAAGAACTAGCACAGGTTTGGACTCAAATGCAAAGATTTTCCATGGAAGACTGAGTGGTGGTAGCACTGTGGAGGTGTGGATAGCCTGGGGGGTCTGAAATGCCATTGGAGGTTTAGGGTCACCTGAAACCCCCCCTTTAACCAGCTCAAACCCCAGAATGTGTGGTCAGTCAGGCTGAGCCCTGAGTTTACTCCTGAGCTCCACGTGAAGTGATCACATTTGGAGCTCTTCTTTATCTTAGGCAGCAACATGTACACCCAGGATGGGCCCTGGCTCAGGAGTTTCCCACTTGGATCAGTTCTGGTCCATTTCCAGCTTGGGCTGAATTGTGCAATTCCAGCTGCAGGTGATGCAGTCCCATCCTCCCAGGTTGCTCTCCTCAATTCCCTGCTGGTTGCACTTTTTGGGCCTGGAGCTGCAGCGGTGTCCTTGGCTGTGGGGCTGGAGAAGGATTGTTGTGTGTGCCTGAGCTGTGAGGAGACCTTGCTGACACTTTGTGTGGAGTTCAGAGTTAGGTACCAGTGCAGAACCTGGAACAGATCACAGCTGAAACTGAGGCAGCACAGGCAGGGGGACACTCAGTGCTGAGGGTTTCTATCAGGCTACCAATAAATGTTTTAACGAAACAAACCAGCTACACCAGCACAAGACTTGGGTAAAGCTGTGTGGTCCTCGCTTCCACAGCCCCTGGGCTTTCCTCCTCCTCCTCCTCCTCCTTGCCACAGCAGGCTGTAAACAGGGGAGTCATTTGAACTCTCACATGTCACATTTACAGAGGAAAAACTTTCTTAAAGTCAGGGTGAAGAGGTTGGACTCTTCAGATTGATTTAGCAAACAAATCTGTTCCTCCCCTCCAAGCACTGGGTGCAAGGTAAACCCCAAAGGGGCAGGAAGGTCTTATTTTACAACCAGTATTAGTGTCAGTGAACTACAGGGTGCTCACATGCCATCACCAGTGACTATTTTCCCCTCCCCTCAGGTGAAAGCAGAGCTGCAGAAGCAGTGGTCCCGTTTCCTGCTGGCAGATCCCTTTGGCTGCAAACTCTGCTTTGTCGGGGAAAACATAAAATACCTGAGGAAATGTTCACAGAAACAGAAAAAGCAGCACCTGAGCAGCAAGCAGCGCTTCTGCCTGGAGGTGAGCAAGCCCTGGGACGTGCAGCTGAAGCAGCTGCTGGGCAGGCAGAGGACAGAGGCCAGCCCAGGCCCTCCCCAGATGAGCATGTCGGACAGCAGCGAGGGAGAGGTCACCACCGGAGAGACGACCGAGGAAGTCTTTGAGGAAAGTGAAATTTAGGAAGTTGTCCCTGGGACAGAACCTGCCAGCAGCCAGTGTTTGCAAAGATCTGTCACCTGCAGCTGCTCAGAGCTCTGGGATGTGCAGTGTGAGGACCAAGCAGTTGATATCCCAGGTGTTCCTGTTTTCTTGGTCTGAGAAAAATGATTTTTATCTGGATGTGGCTGACCTGGGCAGGAGAGCTCCTCTGCATGGAGCAGTCTGGCTTTCAGCTGACATTTTTGCTGGATGAACTCTGGGAATAAGCAGGCTCTGGAGACACATTTTATCAGCTTCATCCCTATGTACTGCCTTTGAGTCACATCATGAGAAGTTCTTAGTTTTTCTTTTTCATAGGAGTGGTTCATAAATAGAGAGATGTGTGTGGAAGACTCCTTCCTTCACAGACTGAAATCATACCCCAGCTCAAGAAAACCGCCCCAATTCTAGAACAAACCAGACCAAACATATACATAAAACCCAAAAAACAAACTTGGGAAGAACCAAGCTTTTGCTTGCATTTTTGAGCATCTTCACTTAAAAGTTTAGTGCTGGAAATGTCATTATGAGATGAAAACCCCAAATATTTCCATGGAATGTGCCCAAATGAAATGTTCTGATGCAATTTTTGTTACTTTTTATTTTTTTATGGATTTTTTTTTTACACAAGCCACCATGACTTCTGGTTTTCCCTACATGTGTCCTTAATGACAAAACAACTCAGTGGTAAATTCTGCCTCCACCTTCCTCCCAGGGGACCCAAAATGGATAAAGACATGGGATTGTGATAGCACCAAAAGAATATTGTGAAATCCTTCTTCCTCCATTTAACAAGAGCCATGGTGAAGTTTCATTTCTCACATCCAAACTCATCCAGAGACCCATGAAATGCAATAAAGTTGGTTAATATTCTATGATCCAGCTTATATAGCTTACCAGTGCTCCAGTGATTATTTATCAGGCTACAAAGGTTTAGCCATGCCACCTGTGGTATTTATACTCTTTTATTGCAAAGAACAGATCAATTCATTGACTAGCTCTAGTTCAAAACATATTTCTGGCACTTAAAAAAAAGTATTTCTTTTACAGTTCTATCTGTGTTTATTTAATCAATACAAAGTTGTATATTTCAGTAATATATTAATAAACTGTAAATGTTTGATCTGCTTTAAAATAATAGATCTGGAGTTTTTAAAGGTTTTTTACTAGAATGTAAATTCTGCTTATGAAGAATTTTACTGCAATGGATTTCTTCAGCAGCCACTGGAAACACCAGACACCACACATGCACACATTGAGTCTTCCTCAATTTAAAACAGACTGATTTCTTCTAGAGCCATTGTTTAAGACACAAAAGAGATCAAAGTGATTTACAACGTGTTTTACTTAGGTGTTAAGAACATTGAAATGGTAAGATTTTGTGGCATCTCAGTGAAATAGTTTACATTTTAATTGCATTTTAAAGATTTTCATATGGTCAAGAAACCACTTTTGAGTGTTTTGAAAAGCAGCCCCTCTAGCTGCATTTTCTCCTCTCTATTATGTGTTTGGGCTTTTTGCCTCTTTCAGTTTATAAAATCAACTCTTGTTACATAAGCAGGTCCTGTTGGCCTGAGGTCTGATCCAGACAAAAACAACCATCACATGGATTCCTTCAGAAAGCGCCTTCCTAAGTAGATAACACCAAGAATACAGCATGATTTACTTGACAGAATTATTACAAACTCCCAATTTATGAATATTTCCAGGGGATAGCAGCAAACTTCACAATTCACATATGTTAGAGTCAGGAATAGCTGACTGTCCTCCTGGGAACTTGAAGGTGAGGAATCCTGCTGGGATTTTCTTTGCACCCTTTGTGGAGCCCCTGGAGGAACACTGCAGCCTGGAGAGCTGATAAAGCCACCTGCAGCAGCCAGAGATGCTACAAGTGCACAGACTGGACACAGAAACAGTGGGAAGGACAAGAAATAGGATCTTGTTCTGACAAAACAAGAGTGGAGGAGACAGCCTGACCTAAGCTGGTGTTTGTTTAAAAGTGGTATTTTGTGTGAATTATGTATATAATTTACACACTGAGTAATTGTCGGGCTGCAGAAAGTTTAACATTCCCCCAGGGGTTTATGCTTGTGCAGATCTGGTAACAGGTTTTTTCTCTTCATCTTTACTCCCAGATTTCCACTGACTCATGAAAAAAACCTGGTGGGAGACAAAGGCTTCCCACAGTCCTGGGAGTCTGCACTGCATTCAGTAAGACAAGGTGGTTTATTAATCCTCAGGACATCAGAGACAGCCCACGCCCAAACCTGACTGCCACAGCTTTGGAGTTGTCTTTGCCAAGGATTTTGCTTCCTGTCAAAACTTGCATGACAAAAAAATAATAAATTGCATTCCAAGCCCAGAATAGCCTGTGGGGTTCAGGAGAGCTTTGCCATGAGATGTGGTGTGATAACTGATCTGGTATGTACAAATAAGGTTTATTCCATCTCAGTAATCTGTTGTGAGACAGGCTATTAATCTTTTATATTTTACTACACCTAGAGCACAACCTTCCAGACACAGTGGCTCCTCCTACAGCCAGAGATGTCAAATGTATGCTAATTATTCATGTGTACTTACATTCTTTGTTAAATATATTGCTCCTACATGCCAGAGTCTGAGCCTCAAAGGCTCAAACAGTAAAGCACAAACATTCCATTCTGGAAAGCTCTGTCAGTTATGCCTTGGAATTGATAATACTGTTCCTTCCTTTCACTTCTTTTCATTTGATTCAGGAATTTTCTTCCCTCTTTCCATCAGTCTGAGCTCCCATGAAGGAAAATTCTGTAATCTGTAAAATTCTTCATGATGTTATTTTGCTGACATCATCCTTCCCAGCTTCCACAGCAACCATCCTTCTGGATTTTTAACTATTTTTTTCCACCTGCCATTTCAAATCCCACAAACTATCTGCTGTGCTAAATGTCACCTCATGTTTAGGTATCTGCAGCCATTCCTGGAGCCACACACAACTACAATTAGAAGCAGCTGCTTGTGAGCTTCACTGCTGCAATTAGCTCCAGGAAATTAAAGTTCAGCTGCCACCTACACAGCCCTCAAAGGCTCCAAGGCTGTTTCCTTGAGCATCACGTTCATCACATTAGTTTAGCAAAGAGGATGCAAAACACCACCTAGAAGAATTAAGGAAAGGAACAAAACCAGCAAAAAGACATTAGGAAGAATTTGTCTGGTTTTTCCCTTTCTCTTTTGTCTTTCAAGGGAAGGAAAGGAGTGGATTTATTTGCTTTCATTTGAGAAAGGTATCACAGAAAATCAATTATCAATCACTGTCCATCTGTCTATTTGTAGGGAGGCAAAAAATCTGTCAAGTGGTGTTTAAGTCCAACACTGACACTGCTGAGCAGAGGATCAGAGTGAAATCCAGGGCTAAATCACAATGTATTCCATGTAATTCATGACAAAGCTTCCTTCCCCCACCCTTCCCTGTGAAACTGGAGCTCACTGCTGCTGTCATGCCAGGACACTTGGCTGTGTGGACCTTTGGCCTAAGCCAGAGTTTTACTTTTCACAGACCTGGGAGGTAAGAAATGAACTGGTTTCAGGAGCGAAGGAAAGCACAAAGCAAGGAAGGTCAGAAAGGCACTGAGCTCATGTCTGCCTGTGCCCTCTGTAAGCTCCTCAGCAGCCAGGCTGGTAGCTGTGCTCTAAAGCACAGCTGCACACAATTTGCAGCTCAATTTCTCGTTCACATGAGAATGTGAGGCACCATGAAAGATCCCTGAGAACTGTCAGCAGTGCTACGAGGGTGTCTGGACTTAACCCCCACATTCCCATGTTCCAGCACAGTGCCTTCCAGCCTTCCTCCCTTTCACACAGACTTGCAGAAAGTGGAAGCACAGTGGGAAGAGCCCCTGAAGCCTGAGAGCAGAGCTGACTGTAGAACTCAGCTTGAAGATATCTGAGCAGCTAATACAAAAATCCAGTCTCAGTCTCTTTGAGAAAAGAACCAGAGACAAATCATACAGTCTTTTAAAAAAAAGAGGAAAAATAAAAAATCATAGCTCTGTAAATAAAAAAACTGTAACTTCTGCTGTAGCTCTGCGAGACTGGAGTGTTTGGTTTTCTACTTGATAAAACAGGAAGTCAGAATCAAATCTGAGCTGAAAGTTTTCATCCTCTGCTTTCAGGGACTTGTGAAAACAACAGTGCAAACAGCCTGCAGCACAGACCACTGAGGTTGGACTGTTTGTCCCTACAATAAATACTTCACCAGTGCATGTCTGTAATTATTTTTCATTTGTATAAGGACCGAGACAGTAACTTCCCCAAGGAAGAAATATGACCCGAGTATTTCTGTGGCTCAAGTCAAGCCAGAGGATCATGACTGCTGAAACCTCTCCTGTGTGTTAGGATAGTTCAAAGTAAGCTGTGCAAATAGAATTCCCTGGGCCATCTGACCATCAATTCAGAAATTGCCATTGTGTTCATTGAGACCACATGACAGAAATGGTGAGAGTGCAGCAAACCAGGAAAGATTCCAAGATCCGAGCCAAACCAACTGCTTTAACTTTGCACTTAGCTTTACTTTTGCTTTAAAAATAGCTTTCACTTCTAAGGGCCTTGTGCAGAGCACAGGTCACATTGATTCCTGAAGGTTAAAAAACACTTTCAGCCCATTCACCTTGTAAAATAAGTTTAACTTTCTCAATTGACTCACAGCAGTTACCATGTCTACTCCTATTTCAATGGCCTTATGTGAATCCTTGCATGAACACTGCAAATCATCATAAACATCTGTGACCTTCTGCAGGCAGAGTTGTCTCTTTGTGTCCAGTGGCCAACACAGATGAAGACAGATCCAAGAGATCATTGTCAGGGTCCCCAAGAGCACCAAAGCACTTACCTGCCTTAGGGCTGGCCCATGGCTCCAGGAGCACTGCTTTAGGTTCTGGCCTGAGACATTTGTAGGTGTCTAAGGAATGTTGTAGGTGCAGTTATCTCCCATTTCTCCTCTTGGATGG